ATTGCGGAGCAGGTCTATTAACTTTTCCTTGCCACCAGTTCTGTGGTGGTACCTGTGTAGTTGTGTTTGATTTGTTAAAAAAGTCAATAGGACATTGAAACACGTGCTAAATCACCTATTTGTCCTTCTGATCATGCTTTTTTGCTACAATATACTTGATGTTTTTCTCTTTTCTGAGGAATTCTGTGAATGACATACTTGATCAAGATTTGTGTACTGTTTCAGGTAAGCCATCATCCTCCTATGAGTGCAGCTCATGCTGAGAATGAGCATTTTATTTATGACATTACTTCTAAATTAAAGACCAAGTTTTTAGGAAATTCTGTAGAAGTGTATCCTGTTGGAAGGTGAGATATGTACATTGATATTTAATACTATTCTACCAGTATTTGTGTTTGAAAATTGGTCAGTGTCGTTTGTTCCAGATTTTTTTAACATGTAGGAGATGTTGACCTGTACATACAAAACTATTGTCCAGTGCAGAGAGCTCTAGTAATGATGTTTGCATATAACATTTGCTAATATGTTTAATATCATTGAAATGCAGGACGAGAGTGACCCTAAAGAAATCTGGTGTAGTCGTAGATTTGGTTCCTCCTCCCACAAAGGTTAATAACCTTATATTTGGGCGAACATGGGTTGACTCACCTGGGGAGATGATCATGACAAATTTGACAACTGGAGACAAAGTAGTGTTGTATTTTCAACCGTGCGGCTGGTTCGGGTATGGCTTCTTACTTCGATTGCATCATAAATAGACTGATATTGGATGAAGTTCAAATTTGATGAATAGTTGATAGAGAATTTGTTGTCAACTGGGATATCCTTTTGGAATGTTTATGGAGCTATGTGTGGCAGTCTTTAATCTATCCTTTGACTCAATCTACCGTCATATTGAATCTAATTTACCTTTCTAATTCTCTGTTTGGTCAGTAGATGGTAATGGAAAGCAAGTTTTGCTAACATCAATTCATGCACTTGTTTCATGTAATACATACTTTGTACATGTTTAGATCTCTTTTCTTAAAAATATATTTGTTATATTAAGCCCCCTTGCTTTTTCTTTTTTTGTCCATATGTTTTACATTTCACATCATATCTTATTGATGGTGGTCAATTGTGTCAGTGCTGGTCGATACGAAGTAGATGGATATGTATATGATGCAGCAGAAGAGCCTAAAATATTGATCACTGGAAAATGGAATGAATCAATGAGTTGTCAACCATGTGATAAGGAAGGAGAGCCTCTTTCTGGCACTGAATTGAAAGAGGTATGCCGTGTTTCTCATTCCTGTTTGTTGAAATTCTTTACTCTAGTTACTGGTTTACCTCACAGATCATCTTTAACTTGTCCTTGCATGCTGTGCTCAGTCCATGGCATTCTGTTGAGTGTTGATTACCTTTTGTAGCTTCACATGGACGTGTTATGTCAAACAATATACCCTAGAAGCATTTAAAAATTTGTAATTCGAAATGGTTCTAAAAGATTAATCATAATTTTTTTTCTGTGGTTCGTATAGAGAGGTTAGAAAATATTCTCTGTTTTGTAGAATCCAAATGATCAAAGGAAACAAACATTTGGGCATGCACTTGCATTTCAAATCTTTCAAATAAGGTACTGAAAGAAAGATATAAGAGTTTAGTTTCCAAAGAATTAAGCTTTGCCCAAATCAGAATTCTATATAAAATGTTATAGTTAAAACAAGACAGATTGGTCAGAATTCTCAAAAATTCTAAAGTAGTAAATTTGTAGCTCAAATGAGGTTGGTACTAGTAGCAAGAGCAAAACTTTACAGAGTACTCATAATCAAGAAGAAATCAAGGATATAAATTTGTGTAGGATGGGTTAGAACACTTGCTAATGATATCATTCTCATTTGAACTATAAATTTGTTAATCCGAAATTTTTGAGAATTCTGACCTCTCTGCCTTGTTTTAACTATAGCATTTTGTATAGAATTCTGATTTGGGCAAAACTTAATTCTCTGGAAATTAGATTTTTATATCTTTTTTTCAGTACCTTGAAAGATTTGGAATGCAAATACCTGCGCAAATGTTTGTTATCTAGAGTTCAAGGTGCCCCTATTTTGAGATGGATCACCACAAATGACTTTTAACATCTGATAGTTACTGAAAAGCTATCCAGTTTTTGCATTTCTTGGAATATTAATGTATTTTATAGTTGACTAAACAAAGAGAAGGTGCACAACATATTCTGCATCAGGAGATAGTACCAGGTGGCAGGTACTTCAAGATGCATGTTTCACAGGCTACTGAAGATGGACACTAACAAAGGGACACAAAATGTCAATTAAGTAGTCGGTGTTAGAAAAATATGGTGAAATATTTCTTCAAGGAAGACATAGATTGGATAGAAGCCTCCATGACCACTGTATAGAATTAGAAAGTACTCATCAAGGACAAACAGTGCTGGATCTGGGTTGGAGGAGCCTAATTTATTTTTACATACTATCTCATGCTGCTAGGTCTGAATTAGGAAACTACTATTGTTGAGTTTCATTTATGAAATTTCTATGTTCCTTTGTTCCATTAAAATTTCTTGTATAGTATTTGTGGATTTCTTGCAAACCATCCATAATTAGATAGTATTTTAATATCATGTAACATATATCTGTGTTTAAAAACTATTAGAAGTTTGATCTGTATATCGATCATAGTAATTGACTTTTCTTTGTTCCGTTTCACCAACTATTCAGGTTGAAATAATAACCGGAAATGAGAGGTCATGGTCTCATCATTTATAACTTTTTCTTGAAATAACGAATGAAATACTTTAATTGCTTCAGTTGCTTTAGCTATTCACTATGGTACATCTTGCCTAGTTGTAGTGACTTCTGCCTTTTGCCCAAGTAGCTCTGTTATTTGTATCACCCTTGATATGCTTTAATTCAGGTCTGGAGAGTTGCTGCTACTCCTGTGAATGACAAGTACCAATACACATATTTTGCCCATAAGATTAACAGCTTTGAGACAGCTCCTAAGAATCTATTGGCATCAGATTCTCGATTGCGCCCTGACAGATATGCACTTGAGAAAGGTGACATGTCCAAGTCTGGTGCAGAAAAGGGCAGGTACTGCATACTCTTTGTTACATATTCTCCTTGATTATTATTAAGACCTAAAAGATTACATATTGAAGTGAATTGCATGTGCCATGTACTTAGTAATCAAGAAAGAATTGGCCATAACAAAGTCTGAAGTTTGTTGTTTAATACAATCAGAACTGTCACTTCAAGCATGATTTACATTTAGCATAATGCATGTTTGGTTTCACAGTCTGGAGGAGAAGCAGAGAGAAGAAAAAAGAACCAGAGAAGCCAATGGGCACAAATTCACTCCACGATGGTTCAACTTGAGTAGTGAAATTACTCCAACACCTTGGGGGGACTTGGAAATATATGAATTCAACGGTAAATATGCTGAACATAGGGCCAAAGTTGATGACTCTGATTCCATTGAAGAGGTTGACATCAAAACTATTGAATTCAACCCATGGCAGTACAGCGATTTGTCTGCTGAATGAAGTATCAAAATTGGGTTCTAGCTCAGTTTTTCATCCATGTGCCAACTTAAAGAGACAAAAGGGTAATCCATGTTGTTGATGTAAAATGCTAAAAATTTCAATGTATTATTAGCTGCTTTTTTACATCAGGATGTGTAATTTTCATAGAATAAATAGTATGCTGATCTGTCGACTATTCTATGTTGAAGACGTCCCATTTTTCCTGCCTCAAAACCTTTTGGTTTCTTATTTGCTCATCAATTGTGTAGAAACTCTAACAACTGCCAGAGAAAAAGGAAATTATCCTTGTAGAAGGTAAATTATTGCTGAATTTTGGTCCACATGATTCTCCGAGCAAGTTTGATGCATGAGGTGGTGTGTGTTCATTCCTCATGATGCCCCTTTTGGCTTTTCAATTAGGTGGGTACTGGTTCCTGTTTGATTCATGTACAATTAAATGGTCCAAATGTCCAATTTCTTTGAGGTTGGAACTGCTTATCCAGACTCCACTCGGGACTGTGCATTTGGTTTATCATCAGAATTTGAATAGAAAATTCATTTAAATGGGAATCATAATGATTGAATTTTTTTTCATATATTTTGTTTTTTAAATTCTGAAATCGAAACTGTACTCAGATCATGCAATGATTACAATTATCAAGGAAGTCTTTCTTTCGTTGGTCAGGTTGATTGTTCGGTTGGTCTACATCAGTGGGTACTCCAGCTTCAATCCAATGAGATCATATCTAGTAGTCCTATCGATTTAGATTGGCAGAACCGACTTGACTCTTTTTGCTGACATAGAGATAAAGCTCGACACCGTGGCGCCAAGCTGACTCGAGGTGAACCGACGTGGCCCGAGTCTAACTAAGTCGTTGAGCTTCTTTCAGGTATATATATACATATATATACATATACATGTATATATACATGTATATGTATATATACATGTATATATACATGTATATGTATATATACATGTATATATATATATATATATATTCTGAGACATGCAAAATGATACAGTTCAAGTTAAAAAAATAATCTATATAAATCATTTAAGCCCAAAAAAGAAAAGAAAAGAAAATTACTTATCAGGAAATATTCCAGTTGAGATTAGGCATGACTTTAGTGACATATTTTCTCCATATCAGGTATGACTTTAAATTTATTCTGAATTCTTGCAAGAGTAAAATTCCATTTCTTTTTATTTATGTAACAAAATATGAGTACAAGTTGCGATTCCATTGTTCAAATCCTGCAATATTTGAAACGCTGCTGATTCCGCCAAATCCTACCGGCGGGCAAACCTACCTGTTTGTCTGACATCCTCTCTGTCATCCTCTCTGTGGTTTGAGGCGGTGTGGCTTCACCCGTTTCATTTACCAGACATTTGATTTGACAGATAATGCCCCATATGTGGGGTCCGCGGCCTCTCCATGGCAGGCAGGAGATCGACTAAATCTGGACAGAAATCACGCGCGCGGCCTCGTATTTAGGGATTGGGTTTTCACTTTACGGAGATCGGTCGCCCCCCCCTTGTTCGACGGCTTACATTTGCCCCCTTCTCTCACCCAGATTTCAGAGATTTTTGCTCCTCCCTGAGGTTCCCCGTCGATTCCGTCAGTTTTACTGTCGAGTCGGAGGTATGCCATCTTTTTTTTTTTTTTACTTCCTTTTATGCCCAAAGCTAGCATAAGGTTCTCAGGGGCCCTGGTTTTAGTTTTGATCTCTTCTTGTTTTCGGGATTACGATGTTCTAAGGTCCTTTTTTTTTGTTATTTTTTGCTTGGAAATGACTGCTCGAGAAGCCGATGGGGGTGTAATTGTCTGTAACAAGGTTCCATTCCCCTTCTTTATGCCTATCCGGGAAATGCAGGATCTCTTGTTGGCCAAAATTTGTTTTTTGTGAGGCTTGCTGATCTCTTTGGCAACTCAACGTTGGAGGGTAGGCTTACCCATACGATCGAGAGGAAAAAAAAGAGTGATTTTATACGGGTTAGTGCCTGCCGCGTTGCACCGAAATTATTTTCTTTTTCAGTGTTCGTTTTGGATGTTCATTAAGGTATGCTTAGGGACGCCTTTAGGGACCATGACTTTCATTGATCTTTAACAACAATGGTTGTTTCGGTGGCATTGGTTGGGGTCTAGCATCTTCTGTCAGCAGAAGGTTGTTGACTTAGTCGAGATCTGAAAATTTGATAGACATCTGAAGTCTTCTTGTTGGTTTCTTTTGATTACTTAAAAGTGAACATAAGTTACTGTTCATCTTTTTGGTGAAGTAGAACGAACGAAGATGAAATTTAATTGAGGGAGGAAGCTGTCGGATTTTAGGTATATATGATAATACGGCACTTGAAAGGCACTTCAAAATGCATCAAACACAGCCATGACTTGGATTATTTTGGAAGTGGATACTTAAATGGAGGACCATGTCCATACTTCAAGTGAATGATATGATAAGATAGAAAAATAAGAGGGTAGATATCTCAATTATATGCATTGATATATCCTCAATCACATGAATCTTGACTAATTTACACAACCATATTGAGACAGCTTCAGTTTCTGCTCCATGTGGTCATCATCCAATGGTAGAAACCCAAGCAACATTCTTGAGCTATGATGTAAGAATTCACATGAATAGAAGCCCTAAGAATGCACATTGCAGTCTCCAATACCCTCATGAACAAAAACTCTCATAAATCACTCTTTCCTTCATTTTAACACTATTTGAGCTGCTGCAGTGCCCCTGATTGAGGCTCCCCTTGGGCATCATGAGCTTGGTCAGCCAATCCTAGGGGGATGTGCCATATCCAAAGTCTGGCCAACCCCCCATGTGGCATGGGTTGGTTGGCCCACTGCGACTCCAAAAATTGGACCCAATTTTACTATTATCTTCTTTAACAAGTTCCACTTCCCACTATATTAGACGGCGTTAGTGACTTTGAATTAATTAGGCTCCATATAAGAAATGTCAAACATGATTGATTTTGCTCCAATCTTAATCAAAGTCAAACATGAACCAAGGCCGATCAATCTCCCATACTTGTTGGAGTGGATGTCGATGTTCATGTGTGATGGATTCACTAACATGGCATCATAGGTCTTTCCCTGAACTGTCGTGGCCCATTGTTTAGCTCAGTCTCCACCAACTCTGGTGATGGGGCCAGTTTCGGTCCCCAAATTGGTTTTCCGGATCTATCTTGTCGCCAGTCTTGAGCAGGTCACTGTGAAGCCATCTGATGATAACATTGATGATCTGGTGGTTAAGAATAAGTGCATGATAAGACTTCAAGCATTAGGGAATTTCTATTATAACAAGTCATCTCCAAGTTTCCTTGTTGCATCTTTTTCAATTTGATACTTCATCAAACATTACCACTTCTGTTTATATTCTCGTGTTGAATGACCATTATAATTTCTTTAGAATCTTTAGTAAATGCCGTTGACCTTTGGTTAATTTGGATGGTAGTATAAGTGTAGCATCTAGCTCTTCTTCATATGTTTTCAACTCAAGAAACATGGAGCATACACTGGCAACTAATTGAAGCACCATCAATACCACTTCTTTGACAAACAAATAAGATAAAGTATGAATCATGTGAAAAGTGTCATGGATTCTAGAAGACTATGATACTTGCTTGACACCATGAATGTATTAATCTTATTGTTACCTTGATATTTTCATTATTGCTCTTTTATATAGGCTGTTTCTGTTATGCTCTTGATTTCTGGCCATCATCATTGACTCTCAATGTTGGATAATAAGTTTTGCCAATCTACTATTTCAGGTTTTTTATGAGGAGGTACAGTCCACCTTATTATAGTCCTCCTAGGAGGGGCTACGGTGGTAGAGGGCGAAATCCACCTAGGAGAGGATATGGTGGGAAGGAGCAGAGTACTGGGAGCCTTTTGGTTCGAAATATTCCCCTGAATTTTCGGTAATGGTTTCTCTTCAGGATTTTCAGGCTTTGTCAATGTCAGTTTTAGCTAGCCTGTCCATTTCTTCAAGGAGAGTGCATTTGTTGTTACAAATAAATGTTCTGATGGATAGTTGGTGATTATCTTAGATTTTTTCATTGACCTGCAGACCTGAGGATCTTCGAGTTCCGTTTGAAAGATTTGGTCCTGTACGAGATGTTTATCTTCCAAAAGACTACTATACCGGGTGAGACTTTTTGTGCTATTGCTGCTAGGATAATTGTGTTCATTATGTTATCTTGCCTGTTGTTGATTATGACACGAGCTATGGGTAAGATGACCTCTTTCATATACATTGTATAGATTTTTCAAAACTTTCATTTGTTGAATGCTGTTGGTAGATACTGTAGGCTTTGACTGTTTAATTATAATTGCCTGATCAACCACTTAATCCTAATATGTTGGTTAGATTTTTGTTGTACACTCAAATTATTACTTCAATTTTGAGCTTCTACTTATGAATAATATTCTCCCTTTTCTTTGCCATGATGTGCTTCTACTTGTCTATTTTGCTTTCAATATGAGTTAATTCTTTAAATGGTTCTCAGGGGTGTATTGGTTTGAAGTAAATACAAGCCCTGCATTTGTTGAAGAACACTCTATATCATTGCATTAGGTCATTTTGTTGAGGATTAGTCTTGTTCGAATCAAGAGGTTCGTGTTTGAAGGGAAAACATAGTTCCTCATCAAATTTATTGTGAAGTAAAGATATAATGCTGACCTTTTGAAGTGGGTTTCTTGAGAAGATAACTGAAGCGTTATTGATCATACTAATACTTTCCAAGTGAAGAATTTGACACATGCAACTGATGGAAGTGATTGTAGAAGATATGTGAAGATATTAGAGCCTGCATTGCTAAATGCTTTTGTGACACAAGTACCCTTTTGATGGAGTGTTAGTTGTCATTGTCTTTGCTCCTTCAAGAACTATAGAAGACCTGTTAAGTGGTGTCTCGATGATGGTAAACTTAGCAAGCACAGTGGACTTCCAACCTTTTCCTACTGCCTTGGATAAAATAAGTTGCTCATTTTCTTGTTTGTTTTCATAATATTTGATACTTGTGATGCAGGGAGCCCCGTGGTTTTGCATTTGTGGAGTTTGTTGACCCGTATGATGCTTCAGAAGCTCAATATCACATGAATAGACAACTACTTGGAGGCAGGGAGATAACTGTAGTTCTTGCTGCTGAATCACGAAAAAGGCCTGAAGACATGTGTAAAAGAGCTAGAGTTAGGTACTGCAAGAACCTTCATGTTTCCTGTTTTAAATCTTCTGATCATGGTATAGCATGAAACTAAAATGCCCTTGCAATTCTCCACCTTTTACCAGAGGGCCCTCCGGTAATGATCGACGGCATTCTTCTTATTATGGTATTCCCTTGTGGCAATATTTACTATATGAATTTCTCTTACACTAGCATTTTTGAAGTGGTAGTTATCACATGCGATTGTACTTGTGTTTGTTTATTGATTATGCATTGTCATGGTGATTTTAGGTATTATGTTATGCTCGTAATTGATTCTTGCAGTGGAAAGCTATGTTTTTGTTTCTGTTCAAACTGAAATATAACATTTTTATGTTAAATCCAACATTCAAATAAATAAGCTGTCTTTAAAAACCAATACTACATCTTTCTTTCTTGTTTTGGATTTACTTATAAGACACACACATCAAACTTCTTTTGTTGCCTTGTTCATGGTTTGATGTTTCTGGTGCTGGACCTATGCCAGTCACCAGTTGGACCAGTACGGGTTTAGTACGTGCCGACATAAAAACACATGGTATGCCAGCATGTGCCATGGAGCATTTTCTTAAATCTAAGTATACATGGTATTGTGAGGCACGTGCCCTGGTCCACGCCGCCAACCTGATAGGGCAAAAGATTAATACATGCTGCCTTATTGGTCCAAGTGAAATATAGAATCATGGTCTTGTAATTGGCTTTCTTCATCTGGAAATGATGTAAAAGTACGAAGAATAACAGGTCACGGTATATCTTAGGCTGGTATTGAAAAAAATGACTTGATCAAAGTGTCTAACATTTGACCACCAGCAATCCTTCTTCTTTGATATATTTTTTCTTTGTTTGCTTGTCACTGTTAAACTGTACAGGGCTTGGGTACTTCTAAGGTCTTTCAAAATATTTGGGCAAGCTTTATGTTCCTGGATGGCAATGCACTATTGACTTGACAATTGCTAGAATGCTTTTGCCTGTTATACCACTTAATCTTTTGCTCTCAATGACCAAACAAATAGAATATACCATATCTGGACTCCTGTCTTCTTTTTCTGCACCTATTCTTTTTTTTGTGTAAGCGGAGGTGGGGCCTTGCACCCATTCTAAGGTTTCCAATTTAGATGAGTTCTCTTATATCTTCCTCATGGTTTCTAGTGGTTCTGAAAAATTTTAGTGTTAGTCTGTATTCTTTTGAAGTAGAGACTGGCACCGTGTTTCTGTATTTTTTGTTTTCACAGAGTTTGCCGAATAATCATTTTCTTCAAGAAGAAATCAAAATTTTTTTTGGGAATCCTACAAGATCAATTCGTTCTTTTATTCTCTGACAGAAGTTGGAACTTCATCTGATTCGAATCCTATTGAGAGATCCACTAGATATCAGAATTTTTTGATGCAAAAATAAGATATTTCTTTTGTTCTTCTAGGTGATCGGAAAATTAAAAAATGATTGATATGTTTAAGATAATTATGTACTTGCAAAGGATTGGTAAAGGATTCTCTTTGGATGACTCGTTCTTAAGCTTAAGAAGAATGTAGTAACTATTGATGATCTTGAATTCTGGAGGATTTGTTTTGTGGCTAAAGGATCGGTAACTAAAACATATGTTCTTGAACATTGGTTCTTTTCATGGTAGTTCTGTATGGACGCAATTGTTTCATTATAATTTGGAGATAATATTTTCTACAGAAACAAAGAAGATATTTCTTTTAAGCGACATAAGGCAATATTTGTGCCGAAGTTTCATATTTGATAGCGATTCTTACAGGACGCTTACGTTCTTGTTCAAGGTCACCCTCACCATCTCCCCGTTATTCTTCAAGGTCCAGACACCGCTCGCGGTAAGCTTTGGCGACTTTTCTATGCTTATCAGTCTTGTCAGTTTAAATATGTGGATCACTGTTAAACAGATCTTACTCTCCTGCACCGAAGTCCTGCAGTGACCACGCTTCTTCCCCACGAAAAAAGCAATCTAGTCATGCAAGATCTCCCAGAAATCATTCAAAGGAGCACAATGAGGATGTAAATCGCAGATCACATTCTCCAAGCTACAGTGATGCTAATCGAAATGAAGATGTTAATCATCATGATAAGTAAGTTAAATGATGCACCTTTATACTATTATGTTTTTTCATTGACCGTTAGAAATGTTGGCATTCTCCAAATTTTCTTGCTTCAGCTCCCTATGCAGAGCATCCTCTTCATAGTTCCTAAACAATATATGTTCTCTCAAATTCGTAAGGTGTATATGGTACATGATGGTGTGACTATCTTACTCTATAGATGTGTCATAAGATGTGATCCAGACCTCTGTTTGTGTATTTATCATGGCCTATGGTTACCATGATTCTGATGATCGAGTATAGCTCGTATTAAAGCTTATCATGCATTATTTATTTAGTTCTTTAAAATGGACTATTATAACATCATGCTACACACAAAAAGCATTCACACTGAAACATCCAAGACAATTGCTTTTGGCATAGTTATAAATGCAGTTGGTCATTATATGGTATTATTGTGGTGCATGTACAGTAGGCCTCCGCATGATGCTGAGGGATCACGGTCCCATTGGAGATCACCAAGGCACTCGTCAGCTTCGCTGCCAGGATCGCGATCAAGATCTGCTGATTTGAGCCCCAGACGCAGCAGTGAATGAGAGGTATGCATTTTTCTTTCAGGTGCAACAGTGAATGATCATGACGTGCTATGTTTCTTTCATGTTAAGCAGATGATCAACTCAACAGTGAATGAGAGGCTTGCTTTATTTGTGCTGCTTTATATACTGTTTGAACCACCATGATTGAATCTATCTGTCTTCATCATGCTGTTTTAGTCTATTTCTTGAAAGAGGGTTTTTGAGCAGGCTGTGCAAAAATAAGTTTCCTTTCAATAAGTAATCCATTCTAGAATTGAATTGTGAAAGGGTCTTTGTAGTTATGGATCAGTTAAATTGTTGATCAAGCATAGGTGGTGGAGTTCAGCACCAAGTAGAATCACAAAGTATCCATACGTTGAACATAATATTTTATACAAGCGATCATATATGTATCATCACAGAAAACAAATCCCTCACGTCGCCATGGCAACCGCGTCGAAGGAGGTGATACGTGGTTGGGTCGGCAAAGTGAGCACCGTAGCGAGGTCGACGAAGTCCTTGAGAGCCGCAATCGCCTCAAGAATCCTTCTCAGATCGTCGACGCAGCCAAACCCTCCAACTCCTGCTCGCCGGACCGCAAACACGTAGAACGTCAGGCTCCCTTTACGGAGCTTGAACCTCGCCAACTCGCAACCGGCGAGCCCTCGGACCAGCTGCTTGTTCACGTTCCCCAGCGGGATCACGGCCGGCCACAGCCGGTCGACGGCGGACTTCATGGCCTCGGACTCGAAAATGAAGACCACGAGCTTGGACTTGTGCGCGCCGAGCCCGAGCGTGAGGGTGCGCCATGCGCGCTGCGCCAGGACGGTGAAGTTGGTGGGCACGTACGTGGTCGTGGAGGGGAAAGGGTGGCTCCGGCGAGGGCTCAGCTCGCGCGGCGGCGCATTGAGGAGCCCGGGCAGCTCGAGCGGGGAGGCCCGCCGCACGGCGAAGGCCTTCACCACCACCTGGCCGCCGAATCGGATGCCTTTGACGTCCCTGCTCGGCTTGAAACGGAGGTCTGTGTTTGACTTCGGATTTGGAGGTTGATGCTGCGGATTTAGATTCCTTTGTTTCTTTCTCTTCTTCTCCTGCTCCTCCAACTCCTCCATGTTGAAACTTCAGTTTTAGGGTCGAAAAGCAACCAAATAGGCAATTGATCAAACCAACTTAGTCCCTTGTTTAAGTAAAATAAAAGACTTTATCCTGTGAGATCACAGGAGAGGAACCACACCTATGGATGAATATATTAACTTCATTGACCTGTGACTTGGAAGCACTATATATATATATATACATTATATCTAATCGTATGAAGATAATGGTTTTAATTTTCTCTCTTTGGGATGGCACCGTGGGATCGTTCGGCTGCCGGTGGTGGAGTGTAATCACCGGATGCGAAGGGGTGATAGCACATAGAGGAGGAGACCGGCGTGGGTCTACTAAAGCACTGCTTAAGCCCCCAGCCTCCGACCTTTAACGTAAAGCCCCCACTCGATTCGCCCGTAGACCGCGCGCTTTATTAGCGAGCAGCAGCTGTATCCCAACTCGTGAGCGATAAGCTTGAGCTGCGATGCGATCTCGGATGCCGGCGGCTTTCGTCTCCATGAAGCCTCACGTACGTCGCGAGTGGTGTTGTCGCAGCAGCAACAGGCAACAGGCAACTTTGGGCCCGCTGGTCTAACTGGGAGGAACATGAAGCACCTGCTTTATTAACCCCTCCTGTTTTGTTCCATCTCCAAACAACGCGAGTTAATCTACCCTCATCTTTACGAAACGCTACACCTATCGCCGACACATATTTCCAACACTACAAGTGTTAAGGTTGTTTCTGGTTGTCCCATATGATCAAAAGTTAGTTCGGGATCTCAGTTGAACAGCTTCAAATTATAATCTCATTTAAGTTAGAATTCATAATCATATTTTTATAAGTCAAGTTTAATGGTAATGTATATATAATATGTGTTGTTTCTATCTCTACTTGGCTGCTTTGATTTGGAGCTAACCGGTGCACGTGAATATGACGCGATACATTTATTATAAGAGACTCGATCTCACCAACTGCAGCCGTCCACACCTACTGAGTTACAGGAAATCTCACTCTATATTTGTTGTCACTCGATTGATTCCAAGCTACCATTAGAAGAGACTGTAAAAATGTTGTGTATGATTCTCCAATCCAATCTATTATATGTGGTAAGGTGGGATGAAAAGACAAGGAAATTAAACACAAGGACGAGAAGACAGATAAGGACTTCACCACCTTCACCTTGGATCGATCACAAGCGATCTACCAAGCAACCCCTATCAACCTTTACATGTAAGAAACTAACCCACGCAACTGTAAACCCTATCAGATCTGACTGACTGACTGCACCTCGATCTCACATGTCGTCGTCCGGGGTGTGACGCCTTTGCCTCTTGGCACGTCGCGGTGGTGGCTCCTCTCTCCGCTGAAACAACTGCTCCATTTCTTTGGCTCCCACCACGATGAGCTCTACCTGCGGCTGCCACCGCGGCCGCCGCCGCCTGCAGACGGCGACCCTCCTGCGCTTCCTCGGCGCAGGCGGGCAGTTCAAGGGAAGCGACGGTAGCTTACTCTCCTCCGACGTCGGAGTTCGGCACTCCTCTTCATCGCCATGATCACCACCACCCTCTTCTGATCTTACTGTCTCGACGGGCCTCAACGTCGCCGCACTGGTTAGCTCCGGCGAAGCTGACATCTTTGTTAGCAAGCAGGAGGCTTGCAAGAGAAGGTAGGGTGTCGGAGAAGAGTCGTTCCTTGGCCTCTTGCTCATCTGATCGGTACGAGTAACACAACCATATATGTATATATATATATATTGTCTTCTTTTCCCTTCTCTCTCTCTCTCTCTCTCATATTCATACAGTACTTTTTACGTTACAGGTTCTTCTGGGGATGCTTAGTTCCAAGATGATCTCCTCACCTTTTTACTTTTGCTGCATGGGGGGGCCCTTTGGAAGGTATCTTATCTTCGATTCGCTCTGCAACAGAGGGCAATGTGATGGGGTTGGATGCTGTCACCAGAGAACGATCATCTTACCGGTCAAAAGGAGGAAACGTGGGTAGGATGAGAGGTAGAGGAACCTAAGACGCGGTATTGGCACCCGAGGGGACTAAACCCCTTTATCATAGGATACCTTCTTGGGTTAAGGAGCATGTAGACAGGGGTGGGTGGTGCTGTGGGACCCGGCCGGTAGAACAACCCGCATTGGATGCTGTGTAGGCTGGTAAATGCCGTGCGTGACCCGACCAAGGTAAGGAATTCACTGGGTTCAAATAAATTGCCACGCATGCAGTGGCCAGAGGAGAAACAACCAATCATAGCCATCCACCTAAATCCAAATTCGAATCCAATCTGGATGTTTCTTTTGCTTTTCTAACCCGTGTCAGAGTTGTGAGGGCATGCGTTTGGGCCGTTCGATTCGGCCCGTAAAGGAGGTGCTTGACATCATGCTTACGTCATTTATCATAAACTAAACATGCGTAACTAGAAATTTCACTGTGGACACATTCGAGTACAATCAACCCTATGCACGTACTTCCCAACTTCATTTTCAAAGCTAAATGGAGGAATATATCGCAGCTCGGGGGGTGGGCTCCGATTCATGATCGCTCGGCTGAGCTCATCTCTTGCGTACATGATGGGCTTCGTGGCTTCCAAAGCCGACCAATGGAAATGCATCCATCAACGGCGTCACATCTCTCTCTCACACTCGGGTATCTGCCCTACCTCGAAAACCTGCTGCTGCTGTTGCCGGTGTCTCCATCTCCGTTCTCTACGAATGCCAACCAAAACAGGCATCGCCCCCCGCGCCCTTATCCCTTTACGTGTATGTGTATATATAGGCAATATTGACCACCCAAAGTAGCAAGATCAACCCAGACGAAACCCAAAAACCCCAGCCATGAAACCCGGCAACCGCAGACTGCTTCCGAACGGCGGCAGCCCCACCCCACCACCTCTCCCGGCAGTACCGGGCAAAGCCGCCGCCCAGCTCTACTCGTCCTCCAATTCCATGGCAGTGACGGCGCTCATAATCCTCCTCGCAGTCTTCTTCTTCGGCTTCTTCTCCGTCTACGCCCACCGCTTCGTCTCCGGCCTCCGCCGCTCCGAAGCCCGTCGCTGGCGCGCGCGTCAGCAGGCGGCCCGCCGGCAGAGGGGAAGTCGCTTCGAGGCCGCCTGCGGCCTCGACCCCTCCGCGGTACTCGCTCTGCCGGTTCTGCGCTACGTCGGCGCGGGAGAGGGGGTAGGGAAGGAAGGGTGCGTGGTCTGCCTCGGCGAGTTCGAGGAGAAGGAGTGGGTGAAGGTGATCCCCCGGTGCGGCCACGTGTTCCACCCGAGCTGCATCGATGCGTGGCTGGTGTCCCGTGGGTCGTGCCCGATCTGCCGCTGCTCCGACGTGATCGCCTCCTGCTCGACCTCCAGTGTCCTCGGGTTGGAGGCAGAAGGAGCGGCAGCAAAGGAGGCAGGTTTAGGAAAGAGGAGCTGCAGCTGCCGCTGGAGGGGAGATCAGGGAGCGGAGAAGGATAAGAAGGCAGAGGTGTACCTGCGGCGCACCTGCAGCTCGTGACGGAGAGAAGTACGTGTGTTGGCAGACTATGTAAGGTGCGTGACACGTGTGCGCTTCAAAAGCAACGATCTTTCTGTCTTGCAGTGCTCTTGTTTCTGCTGCTTTGGCGGTGCTGGTGGTCTTCTAAACATCTTCCGATGACAGCAGAATCAATCATCATTTGCAGGCGTTGCTATCGGAAGCAAATCGCCCGCACTCTGCAACGTGTGCAATTTACGCCCGATGTGGACTAGTTATTTCTAAACCTTTGGGTCAAGACAAAACAGCTATGATAAACATCATCATGTTTGTAATCGTTATCATTCATCAGTTTCATCATCATCAAGTTCAGTTCAGGCGAAGAAACCTTCCTCGCCACCACAATCGTCGCGGTGGGCCACCTGCAGTCCTCTTCTCACAGGATATTTGTGAGAACCTGTGAAGTGTTCCATCGGCAATTTATTAGCCGACGCCAACCACAATATACTAATGGGAGGGTATTGCACACCAGCGCATGGTCCATAGTAGTAGGATATGTCGGCCATCGACGACGAGATGAAGTTTATACCTGGGAATGTCGGCCATGGACGACCGTCTTCCGTACGTATGAAGAGATGGGCCTGCAGGAGACCACGCGAAAAGAGTCAGTTGATCTCAGCATTGAAACAATTCGTCATACATTTCAACTGCACTTAAGAGCAGGACAAATTAAGCCTCTTACATTACACATTCTGCAACTTTATCAGGGCTGTGGCCCAGAGATGATTCTGCTCTCCCAGCTTTTATTGGAGGATTTCCGGTTCCAAAGTCGTTGACCCAACTATTTCCAGATCATGATATATCAAAGGAATAAAAGAAAGGTTAGATAAATCACAAGAATTGCTGGTCATGTTAGCCTGCTCGATGACAGCTTCCCCTACTGCAAACAAAAGGAATCGGAAACAAGCATTAGTTATTACAGTTATCACAGGTAAAATTAAGAATTATATCAGAGTGCACTGAACATAGATTCCACTTGAAACATTTTACCTCTCCCACAAACCTCAAGGCACAAAAAAGGATGGAATTGTCAGATTGCTGCCAGTTGACATTCAAAATACTCGGGTCGTCAGCAACTCAGTCTTTTCTTTTTTTTGTCTGACGATCAGTTTCCTGTGGTTTACAGTACTGAATAGGCTCGGACTGCCTCGATGATGGGTGCACGGCACAATGGACACTTGCCTCCACTTCGAACTAGTTCATTGGCACATTTCAAACAAGTGCACATGTGCCCACATCTGACAAAAAGAAAAAAAGCCTGATAAGTAGCAAATTGAGATGCATTTATTTTGTGTTCCTTATCGTGCATCTACTCAAAAAATTGCACACAGACCTGTACAGAAGGGAATCTATGTGACTATCACAACAGATACAGCAGGTGCCCTTCCTCACTTGACTCCATTTGGATCCATCATCAGATGACTCCTCATTCACACCTGTAAACAGACTCATTTCAATCCTCAACCCATCAGAAATGCACCAAAAAAACTCTCATTTAAACCAGTACAAACTATTAAACAAATGCTAAAAGAAGAGACTGTATTTTCACAATAATGGCCTGAATTTGGTACTTGGAAAAAGAAATATATCAGCTCTGACTAACTTCTTGAAGCAACTGACTGAAGAGTTGGCAGTTAAAAATGCAAACAATATTTTCAATTAAAAAGTGACACTGACCTTGTCTTCCAACAGCACGATTCAAAGCAGCAGAAACTTCCTGTCTGACTGAACGCTGCAACTCTAGTTGCATGTCCATGCAAGCCTCCAACATTCTCTGCATGTTATTCATCCCTTCTTGTAGTCTAGCCATGTCAGCCCTCAAATCATTGATAGCATCCCACTGCTGCTATCAATATAAAGAATAAGAGTAAAAATGTGTGGACAATCAAAGCCCAAATACATGAAAAAACAAAACAAAGTACTTCAAGATACAATGAAAAGACAATTAGCAAACAGTTCAATAGCTACAGAAAATAATGGTGTGCTGACAAATTATATGGTTGCCGATCTCAAGAGATTCTATAAGAAAAAAGATAGACCTAGTGCACAAGGCTCCTGCCAATGCGGGGTGGAACAATGTACACAACCGTAGGATTTCTAATATGGGGAGGGTCTAGGGAGATTCTATACTTAAATAAAGAAAAGAAAAGACAATCTAGTAAAAAACACAATGATTTCTAAAGTTACTTTTAAACAAGCCCTTGTATCAAGCTTCATCTTTTGACATAAATGGAATTTGAATGAAAACGAAATTTGGTTGATGAATCTAAACATTACGAGCAAGATAGCTCACAGTTTCTGGTCGATGCATGTTTTGTCTGGCCCAGTTGTGATGTAGGCCCGAGTGCCATATAGGTTGTTGAGGTGGCAATGGTGGAGGTGGAAACGCACTTTGAGGTCTGACTACAGCATCCTGAATATCCTCATCAAGATTATCCCCTTCGTCATCTTGATCTTCTTCTGGTGGATTTGGAATAGGCAAAGGTCTTTGCAGATCCCAGCCGTCGGGAGTTCTGCCTTGCCGTTCAACATAGGACTGTACCAGTCGGTCTAGACTTTCACGAAAACCACTATGAAGAAGATTAGAAACACTTCTCCTGCAAAGTAGCAAAACTTACTTAGCAAATCATAACCAAGTAGAAAAACAGCATTAGCATGAAATGAAGCTCAAACATTTAAGACAAAAAAATCTACCTGCTTAGTAGTTCCCTGAGTTCCATACTATACACATTTCCATCATCACGCAGAATAAATCCATCAAGTCTTCTACCTGGTCTTGATCTTGAATCTCTTAAGCCATCAGATTGTTCATTATGCCAGGTCTCTTCAGTATCATGTGATTCATCCTCACGCCATTCCTCGTGCAATCCAGGGAGATGGGCATCTTCTCCATCTCTGTTTTCTGATGTTTCCTGTGGCCAGTCTTCTACTATATTTTCATGCCAGTTTCTATCAAATTCTTCTCCAGCTTCTGCATGCCAATCACTGAAAGCATCATCGTTACTTGGTTCCTGATCTCCTCTCTCTTGGGCTGCTTCTTCCTGTAAACCAGCTACCTGAGTAACAGATTCCTCCACGTCGATAGTATTATTGGTGATTTCACTCTCCAATTCAGTTGTTGCATGTGTCTCAATCACTTGGTGAACACTGATGGTCTCAATACTAGATTGGTTCTGATCCTCATCATCATTAGATAGTTCCAGGGCAATGCCTTCTTGAGAATGATCAGTTCCAACATTACCCATGCTCTGACTAGCCAAAAAATCATTATGGTTGTTTGCTTGACCACGGACAATGTTCTCCAATCTGAATCGAAAACCCTCGCTAGACACAAAAAATTATTATCTTTTACTATTTTCACAATTCAAGATAGATATCTCTAACAAGTGTGAAACATTCACAAAAGAATTGTTTAAAATTTGTTTAGTTCAGAAGATACATAAAAACAGAACTCAATAATAAAAATATTAGATTTGTGCAATATTAGATTTGTGGCCTTATAGATTTGTTCATATATTGTAAATTGTAATCTGGCTCTAACTTGGATTTTAGAACATGTGGTCCATTGTAAAATCAATAATAATATTACAAATTTCAGGGGTCAGGATCTCAATGAGAAATTCAGATAAAAGATGACAATCAAGTAAGAAAATAATATAAGATGTTATGTTTTCTTTGCAAGAAAATAATACAAAATCCCTGCCACTGATATATAGTTCTCTCTCTAGATCCATCTGTATGCTCTCTCACCAGATACCTGATTCAGAAATAGCTTGTGTTGTTAAATTTTTGGAACAGAAGTTGTAAAGGGAAAGATTTAATTTTTAATTAAAAGATGTCAAAGTTTCCATTCACTTTGATGAAGTTTAGTAAAGGCGATTGAGACTTTTTTGCCTAATAAATTATATACAAGTGATGATTGTAACTATTGCAGACAAAATGGCCTTTTGTCCTAGTATCTGCAGATAATCCTGGATGAGCTTACTTCCATTTGCCTAGAGGCTAGTTCAGCATCTCAATCCATGAGCACTACAATCAATTGGACACTACAAAACATTAAATCATGAAACCTCCATCCTTTCATACAACACTAACATGTACTCTTGATTAATATGGCAAGGCAAAAAACCCTGACACCCTGCTCCATGTAGGTTGGTTCTGTAAATGATACACATATTTCAATAATAGTACCATTCACATTTCATAGATGAAAATTATTGGAATAAGATTCAAACAATGTAAAGAAAATTCACATTGAAAATCACTTTTTTTTTTTACTTATATCAGAGGTCTCAACTATTAAGTTCAATGGTTCCTCTCATGCACATATTAGATATACAATTCGAGTCAAATAGTCAGACCTTCAATGACAACTCTTCTAGATACATCATATTTCTGTGCTTTAAAGAAGGCAGCCATTGCATTTTTTTTACTTAGCTTACTCCACCTATTCTATTTTAGTGTGTTGTCACCAGCATACCTACAGTTATTTTCGTGTATACAAGTAATATTCGAGGAAAAGCTATTTAGTACAGAAAGAATAAACAAATGGACAAGAAAACAGTCCTCTATTCACTGTGGCATCAAAATAATTGTCATTCAACAGGTAAAATAACACATACCTTAGACCAGATACGCGACGATGTTGTCTGAGCTGAACAATTTCTCTTGCCGCTGCTGAAAGTGGCCTCTCTTCGTCATCCTCACTTGGTCTTCTGTCTCTCAAGAATCTACCTCTGAGTAGTGACTGGAGGGAATAAAGAAAAAACAGATGTCAAGACTTCCATACGATTGTCATTAAAAAGTATTTGTCATTCATCAAATGACATTGAACAAATGCAACTACATTTTTCTTGAAAAATAATTCACCTAAGTAAATTTAAAGAAGTTAAACACAAAAAATGCTAGAAGTAACACAGATGAGAGGGAAGAAATGATTAGGAACATTTCCAAAATGGTTTAAAATTGACTGTAATAGATGAAAAATTAAGCTCCACGACATGAATTATTCTTTCTAATTCAAACATCCACTAAAAATAATCTTCCCCTTCTAGTTTGAAATGATTTTCACTTTCTTTTATTGTTTAAGCCCCATCAGAAAAAAGTTGCCCATGGTTAAAATCCATCCATGAAGAAGAAGAGACCGTCTTTGTCTGAATTGTTAATTGCTCAAGGCATTAGCATTGTGATGGCCTTGACATATACTCAAATGGCACCCATGTGAAAGGAAATAGAAGTAGCAGAGGGCAGAATGTGTAGGAAACAGTTACTCTGTAAAATAAAGGCTGGAAGTGTACAAAGAAGTTGGTACCAGTGTAGGCCATGGGGAACATGCCAAGCTATGTGGTAATCTTAGATGGAAATTGTGAGTATATTTTTCATTGATGTCTGAACAGCCTAGAAGTTACATGCCCCTTGTAAGCTGTATTGAAAATTTTAAAAAAAAAAATCCTAGAAATCAGAAACAGATTTGCCAAACTAGAACAAGAGGTCCTATACAGAATACCATCAACATTGAGGGAAGATGGGAAACTGGAAACATATGTGCTACACTTGAGTTTTGAGTAATAAAAGGAAATAAAGAGTGCCTTGATAAAATTTACACAACATGCCAAAAAGAATATATGCAGACCCTAATACAGCAAGAACATTCTTCTTATTTTTCTTTTATACCATCGATTTCATTCATGCTTTTATTGCTTCACAATTGACTTGCCTCCGAAGTACATAAAACTTCAAAGCTTGGATAGATGTTGTTTTACCTGGAGTACATATAATGATGAAGGCACAAAACAGCAACTGCAGGATATTTTTTGTTATTAGTAACTTCTTAGACTTCATTAGATGAATTGAATTAAAACTAACAAACACTATGCAAGAAAAAATAGATCTCTAACAGAGGTGAAATGAATCAGATGAAACTTGTGACCTTGATGAAGTCAAGTAAGAAAAAAACAAAGGCATAAAGTACTTCAAACTCCAAAGTATTATCTACGAATATAACATCACACCTAAATTGGCAAGATAGACATCACTGCTTTGTACTAGCGATATCATAGTTTCAACATGAATTGCTCTTATGATCATAATGCCTTGTTCACATCCTTCTCTAGGCCATCTACCAAACATTTGCTATAATTAGTGCAAATTCTATAAGGAAGTTAATTGCATTATGTCTGAAATTTTTACTGTTGAACAGTAAATGAAGTCATGCATGGAATCCTATTATCTGACCTTGGATACCCAACACCATAAGAGGATTAAAAGTAAAAGTTAAGAATAACTGAGTAAATTTCCAGTGAAAAAGAGGTGAAGTCAGCTTCATGTATCTGCTAAAGCTACAGAAAATCCTTTATGGTGGCCAGCAATTTCGGCTGCTCACTTGAATTCGATTATGATGGGCGAACTCCGAGACTGCATGCTGTTGTGACAATCTCTGAAGCTCCCTCTGCCTCTCCGTCACCATCCTCATGATCAGCTCAAGGTGAGCTTGCCGCCCTCGTAACCTCAGTAACTCTCTGTGGACATGCTGGGGCTGGCCATCGTCATGATCCATGATTGATCCATCACGTTCCCTCATCCTCTCGCTCTCCCTCCTGCTAACCCGAGCGTCTCTATGCTGTTGGCTGGCCATCTGTACCCACTGCCTCACCAGCCTCACTCTCTCCCTCTCAATCTCCCCAAGCCACTCTGCCCTCTGGGTGTCATTCCTCGGTGAGATTCTTGATTCGGTGTCCGATACTCCGCTCTCAGTCATCCATCCACGAACAATCTGCCTCACTCCCCTCTCGTTATCCCCGAGCTCAGGAGATTGCTCCCTGCTCGACCTCTGATTGTCCTCCTCCTCACCTGACCGTCGCGATAAATCGACATCCCCGTGAGACCACTGGTCGTAATCGTTGTAGTCGCTCTCGCTCGCAGCCACCGAACTGCCATCTATTCGACGGCCCTCGGCACGGCTCCGGTCGCCCTGCACGGACTCTGCCGCGCTGCTCCTACGCCCCCTTGCGGCGGCCGTCACGTGCTCCAGCTCCCGCCACATCTGGAGTATGGCCGACGCGCGGGCGGCCGCCGGCCTCTCCACCGGCGATGACGAGGTGGACCGCCCTGACTCCCGGAGGAAGGAGGAATCGAGCGCGGAGACGGTGTGGAGACCGGCGAGCGCCATCAGCTCGGTCTCGCGGTTTCTCCGCTCGATGGTTGTGATCATCTCCTCAGCCTGGCGAGCGGCCCAGCGGCTGAGGATCCGGGAGTGCCGGCGCGAGGCCGCGGAGGACTCTGCCAGCTCGTCGCCCTCATGGTCGGAGCAGCGACGGCGGCGGTCCAGCTGCTCGTCGTAACAGGAGGAGGATGACGAAGAAGCGACGGCGGCGGCGGCGGCCATGCATCCGTCGAGGCGTTCCAGGACAATCTCCTCCAGGAGGTGGGAGTCCAATCCCGCCGTTGCCGACAAGAAAACAAGAAAAATTACAAGGACCAGACCCTAGACGGTAATCATCGAAACAGGCGACGAGGGTTTCTAATGGCGTGAGAGAGGGAGGGGGGAAGAACAGGACGATCACGAAGAAACCTTATAAGATGTGTGTATCTTTGTACCTTTATTCGATTAAGCTCTGTGTGACGATTTGATATTGGTACTCCGCGTTGGCTTGATCACGCACCGCATCGTTCGACGCGTGGTGACTTGTTCACGGTCAATGCAGGGTGGGCGTCTCATCATGAAATGGTGGTGGGTGAGAGTAGCCGAGGGTTGATGGCTGCCACGTTATATAACCGGACGAGACGCGGCAGGAAGCCACGTGTGCTTGTCTGTTTCCTCTCGCCAGTTGGCTGACGTGGCAAAATGTAGGGAACGTGGAGAGGTGAGATGGAATGGGTAATGCAGAAACGGGTGGCGACTGTCACACCACTGTGTGAATTGAAGGTGAGTATATAATGAAATGATAACGGAAATAGAGGCATTAGAGAGAGTGAAATGTTTGGTTGGCATGGCATGTCAAGGAGTACTCTAACCAATGAGATGAGGCAGTGCCATATAAGTGGATGAAAACCAACCAAGAAGTCCGTAGCACAAGCTTTGTACAAACCATACACGTATAATCATGGGATCCATTCGTTTAATGCAAGGTTTTTGATACTTGATGATCAATCAACCAAGTGAGTTTGATGACAAAAGAGTTCATGTGACAATGATCGGAGTCAATTGAATCCATTATATATATATATATACGATTTTAATTCATCCAAGATAAACCACTCATCATCTTTACCTTCTTCCATTAGTGTTGTCCTCTCTTTTTATCTATTATTATTGAAAATGACAATGCTTCTATAATTACCTTTTAATTGATATTATGAATTAAACAGAAGGAGAATCAAAATATTGCAAGAATAAACAGCTGGTCAAATCTAATTATCAAATAATGTCACAATCAAAAAATATTTTTCATCGAGAAAAAAATACCCTCCGATAGAGAAAATTAGGCAACATAATCTCAAGAATAGGTGACAAGTGACAAACGCTTCTTTAAATGATTAAGATTTCTTTGATTTAACATGACCTAAGAGCAATCTAAGCAGCAACAATGAAAGTAGAAGAGCGAAAAGGAGTCATTTAGGCAATGTCCATTATGGAAAAGTAAGCTTCAAATTGAACAACATGAACTGAGCAAAGAACAAAAACAACCTTTGCAAGAACAATTTCTGCAAACTTTAGCAAAGAAGTATGGTAAATCAAACATAGGTCGAGAAAGTACAATGATTTATTATCATATTTGATGAGTTCCTCGAATGTTGAATGTAGATGGTTATTGTAATGAATTCACACCCATCTTACTTAAGAGAACCTTACGCCAGCCGTAAATTGTAGAGGGAGGCCTCCATCGAAACCACTGCTCTCAACCACCTTCTCGGTTCACAATTAGACGCTGCAAATAAAATGCAAAAGAAAATTGCATCAGATTACTTGATTGAATGATTTGAAGTATACTGTCATACAAAAAAACTGAGCCAAGATAAATGAACGTGGCAACTCCAATTGGGAGAATAAGCGTGCAAGTGTGACCGACTGATGTGAAAAATCGGAAAGTAGATCCTGGTTAACTTGTGTTCTTAAATTTCAATATTGTTGGCAGGATAATTCAAGTTCTTTTCAATTGCTTGTGTTGTGCCTCCTGACTTGACAAACTTTGTCATTAAGGAGGCACAAATTGTCTACTTATGCAATCTCCAGCAGTTTCTTAGTGGAAGAATTGCAAATTCTTCCTTCAACATGCCTGACAGTCGATTCCACAGGGCAGCAATCTAAACATCCTAATCTGCCCACTTCACTGATAATGATTTTGTTCTACTAATCCTCGCTAAAATGACCATACATTTTAAGATTCAGATGAATGGAACTATATTGGAATTAAAAATGACAGGATTAACTACTACGTTATTGAAGATATATGCTTGCTAAAGGTTAATGGACAGAACAGACAATTAGAATTTCACAACTTCCTAAGACCTTATGGAAGTATATAAAACATGTAACAAAAAAGTAACATTTTAAATCTAAACTTCAATGTGGAACAGGAAAGGAAAGTAGAAGACAATTAGATTAATTTCCTTGTTTGTGTAAACCACAACAACCAATCAAATAAGCAAAGCTACTACAAAAAAGGAATACTAGAGGATGTTATTCCTACAAATGGGTTACTTTAGCGTCCATTATATTGGAAGATTAGAGATAATGAGATACTACTAAATTCAAAAGCTAATAACTAGATCATATTCACAGACATCTAAATGCTAATAGTTATTACATCTTCATTAATAGCATTCATCAACTATATAAATACAAAAAAGTCAAGCAGAAATGCCTAAGCTGACTTAATGAAATTGGTATTAGAGCCTTGATATCAATGTCTTGCACCCTAGAAAGCGCTTTTTAGATAATCTTCATATATATACAAAAAATTCAAGCAGAGAAGACCAGGCTGACTTGATGGAATTGACATTAGACTCTTAAGTATCAGTGTCTTGCATCCTAGAAAGTATGCTGCACTCTCTTCATTGGATAACCTAAAAAACAGTCTTCTCATTTCAGTTATTCATGGCTAGTGACAGCACCATGGTTAATGCTGTACTAAACATTGTTTTCTCTAAGTTAGTAGAAAAAATATTTAATTTTCAAAATGCAAATTCTACCAGCAACCTAGGTGCAATCTTTACATACATGAGGTTCGAACAGTTCATTCAGCATTTCTTGGTTCAAAGGAGTCAACATTTGCACGAGACCATTCCATCCTTATGGTTTAATACAAGACCAATGAGTTGGTGCTGAGCAATCAACTAAGAAAAAAAATATTAAAAATGCCCAGAGTCACTAATCAATGTCCTTTAAATTCTAAAGTACATATCTATTAATTAGCTACACAACTGATAATTTGGAAAAGGGGAACAACCATATACATATCTGATACATGATTGTTGCAAAAGGCCTTGCTACAGCAGTCAGCCAATTCATAGAATGAGAATGTAGTTGTCTTCATATGCTTCAAGTTTGAAGTCTAGATATTTAAATCTCATGAAAACCATTACTATGAGCTCTAAAAACTTATCCAGTTACTTAACATGCTGCTGCTCATTGAACCAAGATCACAAACCTAAAATGATTTATACATTCTTGCTACATATTTATTTATCATGGTTTATAATTCGAAAAATTAAAAAAGGACAGTGTGCAAATAATTCCTGCTGGAGTAATTAGCATCAGCTTTGCCAAAAGAGGGGCCTGCAACCAGAGTTGTAATATGCCTAAACGAGTGAACTAAGCTTATCATAGTTCACATCTTAATACTGGCATATTCTACATGATCAACCAACAAGCATGAAGGTAAAAGTAATTTCGGACAACCCACTCTGGAAGATAAAAACTTGATATACAGTGTACCCCTGCATTGGAAGACTCGGGATCCACAAGGATATAACACAATTAAATTCCTCTTTCCTTTCTGAAAGCAAAAGCATGAAAACAGAGACATAACACACTTTGCTAGCACCTGCTTCTACTATTTTCATGGAAACATTTACAACTAATTGTTTGGTATGAAAGGAAAGAAAATACCGGTAAACATTTACCAAGAAAGAAGACTCGTGACCACCCTACTTGACACCATTGAGATCAAAAACCTCTTCGGATCCAAAACAAATAAGCACATGTAACTGCTTCTTATAAAACACAACCCTCCTCACCACTCCCAACCATCAAAAAAGAAAACCTCACATCCTGCTAATGCCTTGGGTTGGAGAATTATTGAAATTTAAAATGTTGTTTTAAAGTTAAAGGATCTTGGTTTGTACAAACATGAAAACCTCACATCCTTCAAATTAAAACAAGTAGACTTTTGTTCTCAATTACTTGAGATCCATTGCTATTTAATTTTGTTAAGTGAGAAGTTCTCAAAGAACCTAAAAGAGTAAAAACAAGATTCTTTTTTACTCAATCTCTTTTGCTTCCTAATAACTGAAAATATAACTTGAATTTACAAGCTCTTTCAAGTTCCAACAATGAAACTTGTTAGATTTATCCGAACTATATAATTATCCAACATCTGATCCTTGGAACAGGCAAGCCAAAGTAGGTGCAACTTGAAAAGAGTGATTTTTGTCTGACCTAATTCCAAAAATGATTTTAAATGAGATCAAATAATATTTGTTTTATATGCTTAGAGAGAATCGATGCCTTATGAATAGTTACAACTGTAATTTTTCTGCTGTCATACATTAGTGACAATATGATGCTCCAACACATGGTTATCCTTAATGAAAATTGCACTTACCAGAAAGTCATGTTTGACCTGAACATCTATTTAGCAAATGATGTGAAACTATACATATATAAGCCATTCATCCCTATGTTTCCTCCATGAATCAAATTTTAGGTCCGACCTTTATGCTCTTTATTATCCTCTAAGTCTAAATCATCTAATACTGAACCTATTAATCCGATTATATTTGTTTGATAATCACAATTTGCCATTCAGTTAAGCAGAATAATGAACGGTAACCTACTATGATATATATTTCAAATTTGAAACATTCATCATTCGAACATCATGATTCAACAGAGAACCATGTCCTTCAAACTTCCCCAATATCTATAAAAAAATCAGTAGTATCTTTGGTGTTGTGCTTAATTCTCACATTCTCCATGATAGAATATAAAAAAATATACTCCATCCTCGATTATCCACAAAAATTCAGTAGTCTTTTTGACATTGTGTTAATTTATAAGAGGACCATATGACATGCTCACTGCTTCATCTTAATCATTCTTGTTGACACTATATGGTTTCATGCATGAATTTCAGTTTTGACCAAGAAAGCAACATCAGGCAATGTTTAGTGTTTTGACAAAGGAATGACATTCAAACTTCTCTCTCTTACAATTTTTTGTAGCAATGAGCAACCAAGAGCGTCATGCTCAGGTCAATATGACCATATTTCGTTTACCATATCTAAGAGATGATTAAGGGCCTCTTTGATGTGCTTTTTCATGTCTTCAATTTTTCAAGTGATGCCTCTTGGCTACAGAATGATGTAACCCAGGTTCACTGAAGAAGGTAGAAGGATGTATGTAAAACTGTCCAGATCTATATTTATGAAGATAACTGCATTCTATGTAAATTGCTAACAACGTCAACCCAAAAGTTATTGGCAGACCACCAAAGAAATATCGCAATATAAACTTGTTATGCAAAAGATAGATAGCTAAACATAAGAGGAAATTAGAAATATTAACTGAAATAGCAGTTCATGACACTAACCAAAGTATGCGAAAATGTCTATGGCATCAAAAGATTATATCAGCATCCTTCTCAGCTCCAACAACGAGCAAGTTATGAGCTGAATTGATTGACATTCCCCTCTTCAGTGAGATATCTGCATACTGCTCGTCCACAAAATTCTTTGCAGCCTGTTGCTGCCTCTCAATCTCCCGCTTCTTATACCCCTGGATCTTCTTAAGACGGAAGAAATCCTCTCGCTCAAGTTCATCAAGCTCCCCTTTAATGTAGTTAATGGTGTTCTCAAGCCGTGGCTTGACAACATTCTCAAGTGCATTGACCCTCCTGTTAGTAGTTTTAATGGCTTCGTCGAGCGTAAGGAATGAGGTCTGAAGGGAAGCAAGCTCAACAAGGACCTCAATTGCCTTCACATATGCAGTACGACAAGCCTGAACCTGTTGGCCACCGCGTGCCAGACCAGTTAGGTCAGACTTGACATCCCCGGCCCCATGGTCCACGAAGTGCTCGAAGCGTGGCAGCTTGACGCCAGCAACATTCTCCTGCCGCGACCGGACGCGGAGGGATGCGGATTTGACGGACTCGAGCACCACATGCTTGATATTGTCACCGGCGACGTACTTGGCCTCCGTGAGGGCGAAGGAAGAGTTGCGCATGATCTCGCCCATGGACTCCTTAGTGGAGACGATCTTCTTCAGGATGGTGCGGAATTGCACCGTGAGGGCGTCACTCTTCTTCTTGAGAAGGGCGTGGCCTCGGGTGGCGCCAACGAGTCGGGCCTTCATCACCCCGAGCATCGTCACCGTCGGGACCACAGTCAAGCGCTGACCTTGGCCGGACATCCTTCCTCCCCTTTGCCTAGGATTCTTCCAAGACAGAGGATCAAGAGTCTATCCTCTGCAAGCGATTCAAAGGAAAATTTCAATGTCATAACTTTCTTAGATCCAAAAGAATCAGCAGAAACATCGGTGATGTTGATCAATACCAGGAGATCGACTTCCAATGATTGCGATCTGAGAAGCCTGAATCTCAAGTCTGTTCCTTTTCTCCTCCTTGGATCTCCCTTCCTCGCTCGCGCTTCCGGGAGGCAAAAAGAGTCCGATCGCGAGCACGAAGAGGAAAGGAAATTGGGATCCGGATCATATGTTGCATCCTCGCACAAGTTAGTTTGAGGGCGTGACGTTGACCGTCTGCAAGATTTGCCACGTTGCATCTCAACCGTCAGCGTGACACCGGACCGAAAGCGGAACGATCCGATTGGGTTTCGATGCGTGTGGTTAGGAGCAAACTCAACACCTGATCCCCACTCGATATGACGAGAGCTGGCAGCGTGACACACGTGGGCGTTGATCGGACCCAGCCGAGCCATGTGCGATGGCGATGAGCCCGAACCCAAACCAGCGTCACGTGCGGCGCATTCCCATCCCTTGTCGAATGGTTTCACGAGATGATTGATTCATTAATTCTATTAAATTTAAATTAAAAATTAAAAATAATTAAACATCAAATCCTTATTAGTTCATTCATTTTTTTTACATTTAATATGAAACTAAATCATCATACTAAAACTTGTAAATTTCTTGCCTTGAGTTCCTTGGCTGAAAGTAATGATTGTTATGCATTATATTGATATGATCAACCACAAAAAGTTAATAGACATTTCTTAGATAGAGCATCTAAAACTAAATTATATAATGCAGTATATATAAATACACACACACACGAGAGAGAGAGAGAGAGAGAGAGAGAAGAACAATGGAGAAAAATGCTTCAGCAATTTGCAAAAACGTAAGTGCTCTGTATGTTATTTTGGTTTCAATTCAACACTACAATATTTATGTGCATATCAAGATACAGATGCACAAACATACAATTTGTTCGTGATAGTATTGATCACAAATCAGATGCATGCTCATTAACAGCAATTACATAATAAACCACATTTTAGAGAAAGAAAGATGAACACAATGGAGAAAAGCCAACTCGCTTGCTCCAAAGCCATTGTCGAGAATAATCTTGAAACAGTGAAGCCCACGATACATGTTGTTATGCCATTGCAAGCACATCAGTTTCAATCCTCTTTGCATGTTATCCAACTATTTGTCCCACAAGCCTCTCATATTCTCCTGCAATTTCATACACATATATGGAAAAAAAATGTAATAAGTTGCAATAAGCACTAATTGCTGCCATGCAAACGAAGACGACAAACCAAATCTATCTAACTAGAACAAGTTGATGGTGGATGATGTGTTTTGCAACTGTCATGAAACTTCCAGAAAGAAAATTCAACAGCGCTACAAGATGACAATTACTGCAGATGAGTAATGAGTCCACTATAGCAGAGTCAAGGGGTAATACTAGTTCAGAGACGAGTATTGGAGAACAATTCAGGATAGCAAATAAATGGGTCAGTGATCAAAGGAGTTTATGACTAAGACAAGGGGCTTAGAGTTTTTGTTGAAAAAGGAAGATTTTAGAAGAAGATTCTGAAGAACTTTGAATCTGAAAAGGCTAACAGGCGTTAGTACGAGTGCTATATTAATACTGCCACGAAAACTAGGAAGATAAAATTGCAGACAGTGTATTAGGTACCGCAATTTACCTAGTGTATTTGATAGATGGAGGAAGAATGCAACTATGGTGATGACTTCAATGACAACTCCGGTAATGATACAGACTTCACCAAGGGCTCAAGCAAATTCCAGGCCTCTCCAGCATCTGGACGGCTTCTTCTTGTGATCTCACAGCACCTCAAACCCAAGCATGCCAGCTGCTTGGCCTCCGCATAAGGCCAGTTTCCTGCTGAAGCATCTAGTATATCAGACAAGCATCCCTTATTTAATGCTTGTTGAACTGCTCTGTTAATTCCAAATGGAGATCTCCCTGTCAAAAGGCGTAGAAGAATGATGCCAAAGGAATAAATATCTGAGAGTGGTGTGATTTCTCCAGAAGCAAGGAATTCAGGATCCATGTACACAAAAGTTCCCATGGCATGAGTGCAGCGATAGAGAGTGGTATTGTTGTTGGACTGGACAAGACGACAGATGCCAAAGTCACCAAGCTTGCTAACAAAATTTGCATCAAGGAGAATGTTAGCAGGCTTAAGATCTCCATGGACTACACTGAGATGCTTGTTAGAGTGGAGGAAATTCAGAGCGGAGCAGATCTCAGCAGCGACTCTGATGCGGATTTGCCAAGTGAGAGGTGGTGTATTGTCCTTGCAAGTTAGTCGATCTTCCAAGCTTCCATTGGGAAAAAAAGCATAAACCAGAGCCCAGGCTTCTACACATGTTCCGATGAGGTTGACAAGGTTTGGATGCCTCAGCTTACTGAGAACATTTATCTGTGTCGAAAAAGTAATGAGAGGCATAAAGTATAGAACAAAAAGATCAATCTTGTCCAAGAATTTTTGATAAGACAAAGTAAATAACTTCATATTATCCGATACATGCTAATATTTACCTCTTTATGAAACTCCTTTTGTCCTTGCATGCCTTCAGAATTCAACTTCTTTATGGCCACTGTCTTCTGGCCAAGTGTTCCCTTATATACACTTCCATATCCACCTTCTCCGATCTTTAATGAATCATCAAAGCTGTTAGTTGCTTTCTCCAACTCTGAGTAGGAGAACTCGAAGAAGCTCTCTTCACCTTGAATGCTTGTAGCCATCTCTTCTAACTTCTGATGCAACTCTTCAGCTTTTTTAACTGCATCATCTCGCTCCCTCCGCAATTCAACATACTCGCTTTGAAGAGAAATGAGGAGATAATGAGCATCTGATAGTTTATTTTCTAGGTCCCTGATGATGCGGTTGGAATCCATAACTTGTTGTTCCAATGTGGCTTTTTGCTTGTCTGCCTTTTGGAGTGCTTCAAACATCTCATTCTGTTGTTTCCTAAGCTCTTCCATTTCTCTCTTTTCTTTAGAAAGCCTTTCCTCTATTTCTTTCCTCTGCTTCTTCTCTGTGGTATATAAATCTTCAGCTGTTTTCACCTATAGGGAAGTATAATAAACTGCATCACTGACATGACAAGAAAAAAATCATGGTCCTCTTTCATTTATACGCTCATAGACATACACCTAAACAAATATTTATATGCTCATTTTTCTTAATACTAAATATGTTCCAAAATATTCACACACATCTAAAAGCCTCTGTATGAAACATCAAAACCTTGCAAATATACTGATTTGACAAGATACTTTACCGTGTAGTTCTTTTTCTCTCAATCATATTAATGAGCTTTCAAAGGAAAACAACAGTAAGCTGACTAAAAAATGGATCAGCAACTACCAAGTAGGACAAATACTAGAAAAAGTGACAAAACTTAAGTAGATATCAACCATATTAATGCACTCTTTTACATACATCCCAACCAGAAAAAAAAAAAAAGAAAAAGGAATCAAAATGATTATAGCACACTTTGTCACTTTTATTAAATGTGCACAAGATTTGTACTCTGATGCCGAAAATATGCTCGTGAACTGCCCACCACGAGTGCCTATGTGTGGATCTCCAAAACCTAATAAATGTACATATTCTCTAACTAGATACTTTACCAAGTAGTTCTTTTTCTCTCTTCAACGCCATCAAGAATGACTTTCTGCACTGCCATGGATCACTTATGGCACCACAAAAGATGATAGAATTTTATGATGGATTGTTCACCTACTTAAACCCTCTATGGTTGGTTCAGAATTCCTAGCCAAGAAAATTTTTGAAAAATTAAAGATTTCCACAAACTAAAACCATTACCAGGCAGGTAAGGAAAATCTGTTCTTGTGATTGCAACTGAACTATCTAGACTTATGCAATCAATAATTAACTATTTGAATTACAATAAAAAATAGAAGAGTCAAGAAAAAAAGAAAGGACCATGAGCATTATTCATCTGAAGGAAAAAGATGCCAACATTCCCATCCCAAACTAAGGTGAAAGCAGATAAATAATAGAAATGGGCATTTACTTAAGTAGATGGATCAAAGATTGGAACCACCTGCATTAAATGGTATGACAATCATTACTGGATTAACTAATTCTTAGAAAGGGTTGCACAGAGCATGAAGCTCCTACCAATACAAAATTTAAGGTTTATGCCTTGTGGCAAAATTGTTTTAGTGACTTAAAAACTCTTGACATCCAAGTTACAATGGAGCAACTATTTCATGGCTTCTAGGCTCACCCACTAATGTGTATTCCAACTTCAAAATTCATTGTAGGAAAAAGTTGCCTATTGCAGTTTGGTTTAATTACTATGGTAATTGTGCTGATTTAACTCAGTCTGCCACATAACTAGGTTAGTGTGATATACAATAATAAAAAATTGTTAAACCAAGAAACCATATCAAATAGACAAACATGCAATAAGGTATTACCTTTTGAGCAGCATCATGCAAATCTCTTTCAGCTTTTCGACGCCTAAGAGCCTCTTCATAAGCTTCACGAGTTAAGTTATTTGCCTCTTTGACAGCATGCTGCAGATCTTTGTACAATTCATCATCTAAGCCAGCATCTTCCTGGGGAAAAAAAAAAGAGGAATTGTATGTAACCTTTTAAATGCTTCTCCTTAAGTCTGAATATACCGGTAAGGACTCCACCAGCTTTGTTTTGATCATAGCTTATAGCTGCAGTTGGCAGTACAAAGAGTTATCCTATACTAAAACAGACAGTTAATCTTCAGGTTTAAAGAATATCATATTTTAGTTAGAAAAGAAAAATACAAAGGCATATTTGTTGCGGAGCATCCATTGGAACTTCTAACTCAATAAACAATGTCTATCCTGATCTAATATCAGAATTTGGTATAGGATGTCATCCAAAGATTGTCTTCAAAAAGCAAAAAAAGATAGAGATCTGTATACATTCATCCCATCATTCCATGCAGCCAAAAAAAAAAGTCTGAAATAACGATTTATGTCTAAGTTGTCAAAGAAAAAGATCCATGTAGCCAACGCCAAATAGTTGAGACTTACGGCTTTATTGTTGTTGTTGTCATCGTCATCATCTAAGTTATCAAATCTTCCTCAATTTTCATAGGTAAAAGAAAAGGAAAAAAATAATAAATTCTACCCACCATATTATGATTTAGAGTCGAAGATTGATGCCTATCTTCAGAATCATGCGAAGATGGCAAAACCAATGTTCCTCCATTTATCTCATCCCTTACAACTTGCATTGAACTTGTGCTGCTCAGCACCTCATCATTCACTGAATGCATCGAGTATGCTGAACTCTGAGAACTCCTTGAAATCCCATCCCAAAGATCAATGACAATCCCCTCTCTGCTCCCTGAACTTGACTCACCAGAGCCTCCATGAGATAAATCTGGCATTGACAAACCAGAAGTAGCAGATACTGACTGATGCCTGAATTTTTCTTGGGAAGTGTTTGGGAAGAAATTAAATAACTGACCCAGGAAACTAGGTGGGGTTTTTGAATTCGATCTTTCAGATTGTGCAGTTACAGCTCTTGGGATGACTCTGGTTGTCTGCATTTTACCAGTTCCAGTGGGACTAGCTTCCCTGTTGATGGTAGAATCTCCAAACAATAAGAAATTAAAAAAAATAACTAAAATTCAAACTGCAACACTTAAATTTTAAGACCTGAAGCAATACGGGACAAGGTTGCCTAAAAAGAAAAGCAGATTTTAGAATCGTGGCTAAAAAGGATATTTAGTTTTAGAAAAAGAGCCAGGGATGCCACTGAATTAGCAATATAGAGCTAAGCTTGACTAATAATAATAAACACATGACGTATCACGAATTCATAAAATCATGTTTGCTTAAAGAAGAGTAAATTTTAAAATTATGGATAAAAGGATATCAAGTTTTAGAAGAAGGAACAAGGGAATACAATTGAATCAGCAAATTAGAACTAACTTCAAATGACAATAATTGGTTATGATCAATCTCTTGTAAGGATCACTAGGGAATAACCTCCAGTTTTATAGAAAAAACAAAAGAAAAGAACGTAATCACTAAGTGGTAGTTGTGCAGGAATAATATGGATTGTCATCTTAAAGCTCACAAAAAGTTAGTCATATAATAAGAAATAAAAAGATATTTCAAGTTGAAGTTACAGACACCTTATAAGTAACTCGAGAATATGAGGAAGTATCACTTATTACATCTAAAAATACATTTCATTTCAAAAGAAATAATGCATACTATTGAGCAATCAAATTACACATAAGTTAGAAAACATTGTAGATGAAGAGATGTGAGATGAATAATTGAACAAATATATCTGAATTAGGGGATTCTTTTTTCTGTAAAGGGGATGAGAGCAGGACTCAAGACAATGCAATGACTTCACCAGATTTATTCCTCTGATCATATTCATTCTAAATAGTAATCAACAATGTGAATCTCAAGGCCAGCAGGTTTATACTAAGCATATTCGTATTTGGTTACAAAGGTGCAGTTCTTGATTTGTTTATACAGTGTGAATCAGTATGGTCTCACATTCAATCTGTTTTATTAGAGGATGATATATTAAAAATCTATTAATCAACTCAGCAGATACACCAACAATGATCCAAATATTGAGATGCTTTTATAGAACTTTGGGTATACCTTGTGCAAATCAGGTTCCCTTTGCAAACAAACCAGAGATTACATGATGGATCAGCCTGCTCTTGCACAAGGAGCGCTTTCTTTGACATTGGCTCCTTCATTTTCCTGTCATTGAAACCTCAAATCAACTTGGAATTATAAAAAGTGCCAGTGGAGCTTAGCAGAAATCTAAAGAGGAGTTTATTTTTCTCTGTTTTTATGATGCCATAATTTACATAGATATAATTTGTATACTTCGAAAATTTTTTGTCTGCTGCTGCTCCCATAACAAGGTTGGTAATCTTATGCTGAGCAATGAGTTGTACTAGCCCTTGACAGACATCATCTGCCTCGATCACTAGCTTTTCAGCTTGCACCTGTGAAAGTTGTCTTTTAGATGAGTTATACCATCATTAGAATCTCATTTTTGTTTGTTCATTAACAATTAATCCAGACAATTATAGGATGAGTTAATTTAGTTGATTTGATCAATTGAACAAATGCTCACAACTCTTGGTGGTAGTAAAATTCTAAGAAAAAAGCAAAACAAAAGGATAAAGAGATAAAGGTGACATTGGGAAGCAGAAAGATTGACCTCCTTTATGATCGAACATCTTTTAACATATTCATTCACTGCTTTTTCCATCTTTGCCTTCTCAATCTGCCGATATGCACTTACCTCCTGTGACTTCAATTGATCTGCCGGAAACCATGCTCCCACTGGAATAATGTTGACATCAATGATTAGTGTTACACCATAACAGGGTCCATTGTGATAAAGCAAGTAAAAGATGAATCCAATTTCTCATTAACCCATGAAATTGTCATGTACACTTGAAAAACCCCCATTATTGCATCAAAGAACTACATACATTGCTCAATTAGAGAATCTCAGGTCATCTATGTTGAATACTAAGTACATGCACTTATACTACTGTAAATTATCAAACCAAACCTTCGTTGAGAGAAGTTGGTGTAAAGAAATTAGTTTTCTTGATTGCTTTTACTCTCTTTTATTTCATTTTCCTAACACCTTCCAAATAAGCTAGAAATCATTACCAAACATGGCTTCGTATCGAATCAAACGGAAACAATAGCGGACCCTAAAATTCTCGTTCCTTCTACTGCACTAAAAAACAAAATAAAAAGAAACAATCTTTCACTATATTTCGGTGGGATTGAAAGCCAATATATATTTAAAGAAAAAAGAAATGAAAGTAACTCGTATCTCCGTCATTCAGTGACTCACAAATCACTTCCACTAAGGGATGAGAAACACAAAAGGGCTGCGGATAAGGGGTAAATGGCGACGAGCTTACACATGGGGATCATTTGGGCGGGGACATGGACGTGGACGATGACGATCTTCTTCGTCCTGGGGGTGTTCTTGAGCACCCAGACAAGGTTAGCCTTGCTCAGCTTAAAGTCCTTTTCGACCGCAACGTGAATCTTGTCGTCCTCGCCGTTTTCCCCCTCCTTCTTCGAGGGCGCGGTCTCCGGCGTCTGCGGGTCCTCCTCGATCTCCCTGAGGCTACTCCGGCTGCTCCCTGTGGAGAAGAAGCTGGAACTGTCCACAGAACTCACGCTCGACTTCATGTCCATCGGTTGAAAATCAGGAGCCGGCGAGGTCGCGAAGGTCGAAGCTTTTAGTACCGCTTCCTTCTCTGCTCCTTTTCTTCCCCCGCGGAAGACCTTCGCAGCTCCCTTCGCGCCAGTTAGAGGGAGACCACAAACTTCAGACTGCCTTCACAATTTAAATATAAATATAAATATATATATATATCCTTATAAATTTTAATTTTGATACAATATTTACATCCTCCATTTGACATTCGTCTGATGATAAATTAATTATTTTTAGACATAATTGTCAATAAATGATTTTAGTGAAAAAAAATACCTCTTTTGTAACACTTCAAAGTTAATGGGATAAAATTTAAATTGTTCTATGGGGGTATGAACCATTGATTTAAACAAAGTATATCAAACAAATGAACCAAGTTAATGAGTTAACTATCTAATCAAACTAGAACATGACAAATAATATTGAAATTATTCTAATGTTAGATATAATAAATGCCTCGAGTAGCAAGGATCTAGCATAGATAGATCTAGAGCCTATCATAACATAGAATTACTATTGGGTTATGTTCTATGTGTTGGCGGAGAAGAATTGTAATACTCTCAAGTTTAATTCTATATCGAAAGTGATAAAAAAAAAAAAAGATAAATATATAAAGATTTGATAAATATACTATTAATAATTTAAGTTTACTCATTTTTATCATTTCTATATATCTGAGACACGAACACATTCAACGGGTATATAAGTGGCGTTTATAATTTTAATGGCATGTATTTTGCTGCTTTTAATAGTGGCCATATTAGTATATTTCCAACAGCACTTCATGCATGGCACTTTCATGAGAATAAGTTTCAAATTGGGAGTATATACGTACACTGCACTTGGCAGGGACCCTAAACCTGTATTCAGTATCAAATTCTTGTACTGTAACTTCTATTCATCTCAGAACCTTCTTGTGTCCTTACGTCTGAGTCATTCCATAGCCTTTAGACCTCAATTATAAAACCCACAAAAGAAAAATTAGAGTCACTTTCTAATGCTATTAGAAGGAGAAGAGTAGGAACAAAGTTGTGCATCTCCTGCTACCGTTCGAGGACCTATAAATTATGCAGCAGTGTGTTAATAAGACCAGATACATGCACCTGCACCATTGACCTGATAAGATAATATTTAAAATGGGTCAGCAATGTATCACAGTTCTCAACCATTTAGAAGCTAAGCACTCAATTTATATAAGTGTTTGATCAGAATTATGTTTTTTATGCTTTGACGAAAAAAAAAGAAGCATTATATGTTGGGCAATTTTAAGCTATAGTAGGCATTGACCATTAATTGTTTATATGTTGTGTTGCTGGTTGTCTTTTTGAACTCCAAAGGATAAAAGGACAAGTGATATATTTGATTCCAAGACCCTGCTGCTTATCAAGGGTCAAAATGTTTTATCAACTAAGTAGTTGACAACTTTTAAGATTTATCAGATATTTTACATCCTCAATATTTAATAAGTCAATCCTCAAACTTCGGTAAGTAAGTTTATTCTTTATATAATTTTCAACCTTCGATTTTAATTTATAGCAAGTTTAGTATCCAATCATCATGTTTTGATTCTTGATGTCTCTCTTGTAACCTATTCATGATATTACATGCAGTTGTGGCTACTTATATATGTCCTCATGTATAATTCATGCTTGCAAAGATTTGACATCATATGGTAGATTAAGCACTCAATTTTAAACACTGGATATTGGATTGACCTAGCCTGGATCAACTTTCTCAGATGTAAAAATTTAGGTAAGATCATAATAGTCGATAAACACTGCCGATCAAGTTCAAGAAGAAGGATCATAAACCGAGGTAATGAAGTGAAACATTGTAGATAAAAGATAATTTGACTGATCAAGCAAAAAAAGAAAAAGAGATGTCCAGAAATGCAAGATAATTTCCAGGGAGAATTACTAAGATTCAAAATGTGAAGGGGGAAAAAAAACTATAATGATAATTAATTTGCGATCAAATAAAATGCACCTCACTACGCGATTTAAACCTGACAATATTACAAAGTCATTTTCTCTTCTTGGTAGACTGCAAATATGTTGTTGGAGGCATTAGTTTCTTCTTCACGAAAGCACTTGTTCTGCTCTCTGGTTCATTCTCATCATCATCGCTTGCTGCATTCTCTGACTGGGCTAGCTTTCTCTATGTTATCATAAGACAGTTTCTTCTTTGAGTTCAACTTCCCAAGCAATTTCTGTTCAACTGGATCACTTGAAACTGCCACTTTCATTTTTGGTGTGACTTTAGCTCCCAGACCCAACCTATACGAGCATTAATCAACCAAATATTGAGGCCCCAAAGAATATATTGTCTAAAATAATATAATCTCATATGCATATAACATAGTAGATGCCTTGAAGGTTGACCCTCAAATTCCAATTCACTCTGCTCGTTAGTTGCTGATGTGCTCATATTATTAACCCAAGCTTCAGCCTGAAAACCATGCTTTCATTAAAACATGATATTTAAATTGTTCAATGCAGCAATATGGTTTCTAATGCATATTGTGTTTTATAACAATCTCCAAGCCATACTGGCTTTACAACTCATCCTCTCAGTTTGAAAGACTGACAGAAATCCAAGACAAGTCCAAAGATAGATGAGATGAGCTGCACAGTTCAAATGCAAGTCCATAACACCACACAAATAAGAGGACACAAGTTTATGGACCATAAAGATCTTTTTCTTTCTACCAAGCGCAGGCAATGAAGATAAGATTTGATTTGATCGTTGGACTTTATTATCATCAATCAAAAATCTTTACCAAGTAAGCTAGTTTATCGAATGAGGTTACAAATTCTCAATCTTTAGTAAGTGGGCCTGGTACATCACTACCAGACTAATATTTTAGGTATAATATTTGTTAGATGAGGTTTTAATCCCTTAACCACTAGTAAGTGGATATGATACATCGCCACAAAATTAATGTTAGGTGTTTCTATTGCAAGATTATCCAAATGATTATCTTATGAGGCAATAGAAGCAGTCCTATACTTCTACAATAGCAACAATGAAGTATTTAGTACCGAGGACTAATCAACTCTAATTTTCGATTCTGTCAAAAACAATGCTTAATATTGCAGGAAGGTTATTCACTTTAAGCTCAAGTGCACCTAAATGTAAGGACCTTCTTAAAAGGTTCCGACCATCAAGAGTTCATACAGCTTCTCATGGCACAACTACTAAGAACTTTTTTATTCCTTAGCAGATAACAAGTTTTGGCTCCACCACTTACTATCATCAATTACCATTATAAGCAGTATGGCAAACTTCATACACCAATATGCTGCAGAATTCCAATTAGTCATTCCAAAAGATTTCATTGAAGATGGTAATAGATTATCCACTAAAAGGTGCCAACATTTACCAAATTAATTAGAAAGTTCAGAGAAATCAAGCATCTAGACACAGAAAATAACGACAGGCGATTCAAAAAATTGAGTAATCGACCAAAAACGAAGGAGAGATCAAAGGCTTCGTACTAATTTCAGCGCCTTGTCAAGCTTCACGACTTTAGGTGGCGCTTTGGCTTTGGATTCGCTGCCCATCGACTTTGAGCCTTGGTTTCGACTACAAGACCCAGGAAAATCGAATGAAGCATGGAGGAGACGAGATCAAACCCTTATCTTATGCATCTACATAGAAGCCCCCAAGTCCTGTTCGATTACGGCATCGAAGGCGCTGTCGATCAACTCGGGGTTATCCCAATTCCTGTTTGTGCCCAAATGCAACTCGGGCAGTTTGAGCCAGAAGTCAGTGCGTTATGGGAGACGGAGAGCGGCGACCTGCGGCCGGCGCGCTCCTAAGGCAGAGAGCAGTGACGGAAGGCGGATGAGGATCTCGCAGATCCGAAGAGCGCCAGAGAGCAAATGCGGAGGACGGCCAACCCGCATGTACGTCAAAGAAGGTCTAAAACCAACCGTAACAGAAATTGAATACATTCATATTATTCGATCAAAACACTTGACTCGAATAATCCCAAATAAAATAGTTTATTTAAGAGTGAAGCGCTCCAAACACTTTGAAATTCCCAAATAGCATTGCTGGTGATGTGAAATAATTATTTTATGTGTTCCTTTATCAAAACAATTATTATCTTTTTCTCCCAATGCGTTGTCTTCGTGACCACCCCTACACCCATATCTAATCCCAGAGTCATCGTACACGAGAAGGAATGCGATCGACAAGACCAACCCCATATGTAAAGGTGTAGACAACTAAGAGAGCAGAGGGGGAGCAAGTGATGAGGCTAACTAGCGCACCAATGGACAAACAACCAAGGGAGAGGAGAGGGGTTGACCAACAAGATTAGCCCATGCGTTAAGGTGGAAGCGACTAGGAGAAATGATGAGGGGAAGCCAATGAGACCAGTTTGCATGCGTAAAATAGGGCAATAGTTGAAACCAACTTATGCGTAGAGGCACAGGCAACCAAGAGATGGGAGGGAGATAAGAGAGAAGCCAGTGGGGGCGCGGCCAGTAAGGCCTATCCTCACATGCGCAAAGACATAAGCGATTAGGGGAAGGAAGGGAGGTAGTTGGCGAGGTCAACCTATATGAACATGAAGGCACAAGCGACTAGGAGAGAGTGGTTAGGGAGATAGAGAGAGATGGTCAACGAGTGAAGGATGATGGTCAACAAGGGTAGACGATCATTTTGAAAAGAAATAAAAATTTTAAGATTGGGATAATCCATGAAAAATTTCTAAACTTAAAAGCCTTTTTCAAAAAATCACTTGTTAATATATTAAAAATATTTTTCATATTTTCTCTATTAATAATAAAAATAAATAAATTTATTTAACATAATTTTAACCCTCCAACCAAACGTTTTACCCAAATTTATATCAATAAATTCATTGATATATCTAGAATTTTATAGTTCTGAAAGTGAAATAAATAATCTCATTTGCTTTAACATCCTCAGTCCTATTAACGAAAAATATAATACATGATATCACGTGATATAAAAGTGATGAAAAAAATAATTTTAACTTTCTTTTTATTTTAATAAATTATATTTTAATCGATAAAATTATTAGAAACATAATAAAATTATCTTTTTACTCATCATTTTTTATGTCACATATTATGTTTTTCGTCGGGACAATTGAGGCAAATCAACAATTAGCCCCGTGTAATTACTGTAATTAACCCCGTGTTGTGAGATGCGCCCTCGCCCTGTTATGCGCTCTCGCCACGCACAACCCAACGCTTCCGTCGACTCCACCGCGTACGACGAAGGCGTTGCAGGCGGTTCCACGTAACTCGGTATGGATTCTAAGAACTAGGCATCTTTTCGTGTTATTGTAGCTTCCAAAGCAGAGCATGTAACGCATGGATGCTGATGCAGGAAAGAGTTGAAGCTCTTGGATTGGTCTTTTATGGACCACAGCATGGATGGGAAGGCTCAAAGTAGTGGAAAGAAGCTGTCTCCCTGTGACGTCGAAGCACTGAAGAAATGCTTGGAGGAGAACAAAGGGGACTACGTCAAGTGCCAAGCGCAGATCGAAGCGTTCAAGTCATCCTGCTCTTTGAAGAAGCCTCCTCCATCCCCTCGGATCTCCTCTTAGATTGCTCCCGTGTCTTCCTCCAAGGTTTGCTTATTACCTGTTTGATGAAATTCCCCACCGACTACTGCACCCATAATATGCAGTAACTGCTCATAATGACTTCTCTTATTGATCGACGTATAAACAGTGGCTACTAATAATGATTTCTCGGTAAAGTTCATGGAGTTTCTCTTGTGTCGTAGCGCCCAAAAACAAGAAAAGAGTACTTGAAATCAAATTTAAGGATTTAAGACAACACAGCTGACACCAAGTAGACACATGCTTCTTCTTTTAATCTCAATTGTTTATTAGATACAGTGAAATCAAATTTTGTATATTTAATTATATTATATTTTAAAATTAGGTTAAATTATTTGTTTATATTTCGTTCGAAGAGCAACTGCTCATTATTCACAAGTGTTTCTATGATATTGGAGTTTGTATCTTATCTTTATTTTATTTTTGGTTTATTTAAAATAATCATAGTATGGACTTGAAGCCGATTCATTCCATTGAGCTCCACAGTATACTTATTAGCAAGAATTCTTGAGGGTTCAAAATTATATTTGATAGATTTTATATCTAAAATATTGATTGAATGATGATATATTAGATCATTTAATAAAAGATTAAGGATTAAGAACTGCATTCAATAAATTTTAACCCGTAAAATATTGATTCAATCATGATATGTCAGATCTAATCTCAACATAAAACCTCAATGGAATCCCATTCTTTGGAAAGAAATTGACGATCCATGAAGTTATATAGTTTATTGTTCTTCATTAAAAATCTGATTTCACTTACTGACGAGTATTTGATCCCGTACAGCGTCATGGCACAGTGTCCTGGTTTGTATTTGCACACCTGCGAGTACTCCCAAGTAGAGTAATCTTAAGACGTGAAAGCACCAAATAAAGAAAGGCAAAACGGATTAGAAAAGAAAAAGGGAAATGTCGCGTAGTGGGGTGGGCACAGTCGGGTAGGCATGTCGGTAACTCGTCCGTCCCCGATGCCAAGGTCAATCCCAATTCAGTAATTGGTCATCGCGACTCCGCCTCGCGAGACCTCTTCCGAGGCGGAAGCGCTTCCAAACCTGATCGATCGGAGTCCAAATCCGTTCGGTGCCCTAAAACTCCTATCTCGTTCACAAACCCTAACATCTTATCTTCGTTCCTCGTCTCCGCGGTCCCTCTTGGATCGTCTTGTTTTCGTGGAAGAGGAGGCGACCGATTACTTCTTTCGCAGATCTACAGGTGAGTTCTGCTGGATCCCTCTCAATTCCATCTAAAATAGTATCTCGATTTCTTTTTTGTTTTTTTTCCTTCATTAAGATGCATGAATCATGATGAAGACTGTCTTAATTTTCCGTGAATTCTTCGATTCTCATATAATGAATGGCCGAATGTGGGAATAAAGTTTCAATCTGATGCAACGGTGCTTGCAGCATAACAGCGGCGCTACTTGATCTGTCCAGGTTCTTTCAGGTGTACCCACCAAGTAATTTGGAGTATTTGTACCTGAAAACATGAGATAGAGCTTTCTACTCTTAGTCACTGATTCTTAGATGTTCGGTTGATGTCTCTTTAGTGTGAAAGCGGATAAAGAGGGGATCTTGTGGCACTGTTTCTCTTATGGAGTCCCTATGGAAGCTTGCTTACTTGCTTGAACCAGCATCCCTCACTCTCGTCGTAACTGCAATCTTTGTGACTTTTTCTTCGGCTTCACGAGCTCTGGATCATGGCAGGGAAATGGAAAGGAACCTGGATTTTTCAGAGGCATCGATCACATTAGACCGGTCCCAGGCACTTATGATCCCCCTTGCTAGTTCTTGTAGCCTTCTTTTGATGTTCTATCTCTTCTCATCAGTATCCCAACTTATAACCGCCTTCACTGCTGTCGCTTCAGCATCTGCTCTCTACTTCTGTCTCTCACCATACATGGCCTACATCAGATCACGGTTTGGTTTAATGGACCCTCTGGTTTCTAGGTGCTGTTCCAAGTCATTCACTCGGACGCAAGGAATTTTGCTGTTGTTTTGCATAGGAACTGTGGCAGCTTGGCTAGTTACTGGGCATTGGATTCTGAACAACATCCTGGGGATTTGCATCTGTATAGCTTTTGTCAGCCATGTGCGACTACCTAATATCAAAATCTGCGCATTGCTTCTCGTTTGCTTGTTTCTCTATGATATTTTCTGGGTCTTCTTCTCGGAGAGATTCTTTGGAGCAAATGTTATGGTCTCAGTTGCAACACAGAAGGCATCTAACCCAGTTCACAAGGTGGCAACCAGCTTGAGCCTTCCAGGATTACAGCTAATTACAAAGAAGTTGGAGCTACCTGTCAAGCTCATCTTCCCAAGAAATTTGATGGGCGGTCAGGTAATTACTGGAGCCAGTGGTGGGGAGTACATGATGCTGGGACTAGGAGACATGGTATGCTACAATTTGCTTGCAATTTGATGGCAGCTGAGTCTTCAATTTATATCATTCTATATTTAAAATGATATTCCAGTCACATCAAACATTCGTGGTTGTCTTCTTTAATTTTTTCTTAACGAATATCAAATGTTGTAATCGTTGACATTGTGCATCTGAAATTAAGACTTGGAAAAGAAAAAACCTTATAATGCTGAACCTTCAGGTGATTTAGGGTTGCAGTAGAATTGTTTCAATCCTCCCATAGGGTTGTTCAACTCTAAAATCAGATATTGGATAAGTGCTGCAAGCAAGTTTGGCATTTCAGGATTGGTTGATGAAAGTCGAATAATTTTGAGATAGCAGACTGGATGTCTGCGCTTTTTGAAATCATTGAAAGCAAAAATGATGGCTCAATTGTCATGGAGTAGGTAAGTTATCTGCTTTTCGAGAAAATGATGATGATGACTCATGGAATGAGAATCAGTTGCTTGATATAAAGGAGGACTCAAAGTGAAGAAGGCTTGAATGCAAATGAGACCAGACCAAAAACCTAATTGTTTCAGTCAAAGCCTAGGTTGTATCTCATAACAGCAACAATAAGTCATAACGTCCTAACTATTTGGGGTTCGGCACATAGATTTTCACTATTGAGTATTGCACAAAGTTATTAGATAAATCAGGAACAGGTGTTTTTCTGGGCTAAGAAAAGTTTGTCATGAACTTGTTGGTATTAAAATCTGAAACACCCATTTCTTTCCTTAAGGGTGTTGTCAGCTAGACAGTGGAATTATCTGTCTGAATATATATGTTTTAGACTCAGGCGTGTTGTCCAATATGTTGCGTTTGAAGGCAATAGTTATATGTGTTTTGTTTGAAGAAACTTTACAAGTCAATTGTGGAAGCTTTTCTTCTATATTCTTTCTCCTAACCTTTTCTCGCCCTACTTCACATGTCTTCTCTGTTAAATCTGATATCTTCATGCTACTATCATGTACCTACTATATACTTGGAGCATCTTCTTGATATTGAATTGCTATTATCTTATTTCTGATGAGAAATTATCAGATTTATCTTTGCTAGGTCCTAGTACTTTACTAATATGAGGCCCTATTATGCTGCAGGCCATTTCTTAATCAATCTTGCGTCACGTTATTCTTATGTTTATTTATGAAAAATAGCTGCAGGTTGGAGAGGTTTGACACCTCATTTTCTTTATCAACTGAATTAGAAATTGTCAGATGAGCGAATTATATGACAAGTAAGCTTTAGCAAAACAATGATATTGTAGGAACAGCTGGACAATATCATTATCATGTTTCTTGTGATTCATGGGGTTATCAACCTACTTATTGCATGCAATCAGTTGATTTTTGGGCCCTATTTGTTGATGTAATCATGGATTACCATACTCATGCATGCCAACAAGCACTTATGGGGACATCAGCTGATGATACAATAGATGATTGTGTGCCTGTACACTGTGTATCCCTAGCCATGGTTTTTCCTTTATAGTCTAACTCAGCGAGAGAGTGGTGGTATATGATGATTGATGACATAAGGTACAATAGTAGACTGGCGACCCTCTGTTTCGTGCATGGTTGCTATTGCCTCGATTCTTTAATGTAGTAAACATATTTATGCACTCTACATGCCTTTCTGCTTTGAATTTCAGTTAACATTTCAAGTCATGCTTTCAGAAACTTCTTGAGTTTTGGATCTAAAAATTGGCCATGATCATTGTTGCTACTTTTATGTAGAGAAGGACATTTTCTTTACCAAGTATGTGGTGTGATCATGGTTCTGGGTTTTGATGTTACAGCATCTACTTTGGTTCAAATCCCATGCAATCTTCTTGTTGGAAATAATGGCATGTAATTCTACCAACATTCTAACTGAAACACAAGTTTTAAACAGAATCACTTTATTGGTCTTCTTTTATTTACTAACACATTTCCCCTCTAGGAATTTTAGATGACCCGGATATTCACAAACCTTAATATCTTTACAGACCACACTTTATCCTCCCCCTCTCTTTTTATGAGTTCTAGGGCTTGATTTCCTCTACATTTGATGACTGTTTTTTCTTCCGTTACCATCTACAGCATTATATGGGGGGCGCAGAAGGTGGTAAAGTGGAGGTGGTTCTGAAGATGGTAAATGAAATGCATGCAAGTATATAGAGAAAAATTTCTTTGTGACAGTTTATCCAGGATTAAGGCCATTATATGTTGGAATTTATTCTTAGAAACACACAAACTTTGTGTAGGAACATGAAATGATTGATGATGAATGGTGTGACTTTCATAAGCAAGATTGTCTTTAATTTTCTGCATCTAACTGTTGGAATGAGCTAATGACCAATCTTTCCTTTGTTACAGGAAAAGGTAATGTTTGTTTAATCTTAAGATTGTAACACCATATTTGTAGCTTATGAAGAACCTAAATCACCTTCTCCTTTGTCCAAAGCAAATAATCATTGTCAATCACTTTGATGCAGAAGAACTCTGCAGCTCATAGTCATTGCCATATATGTAACATTTGTATGCTGGCAAAATAATCTTTGTCACCATGCTAACCTTGTATTACTTAGATATCAAATCATTCCACCTTCTCAAAATTGAGCTAGTGAATCATATTAGTTGAAAATGATGATTGCAACGCCTGTGACATCACCTATCACTGTTTGTTGTTACTGTAGGCTATTCCTGGCATGCTTGTAGCTTTGGTCCTCTGTTTTGACCATAGGAAGACTAGAGATATGGGTATCCCCTCAGAAAAATCCTCCTCAAAAGAGAACAAATATCTGTGGTGTTCACTCTCTGGATATGCAATTGGCTTGATTAGTGCCTTGGCTGCTGGGATTTTGACTCAATCACCTCAACCCGCTCTTCTTTATCTGGTAAGTTTGAACTTCATACCAAGTCACATTGGGTCAAATTTTAGTGCAAATTAAATGGTCATTTTCTGAATTCTGATCAATCAAAAGGAATGACTGTCAGATCACATAGATTACTTGCATTCTTACTAAGCGGTGTTACTGCAGGTGCCATCTACCTTAGGACCTGTTATTTTCCTTTCTTGGAGAAGAAATGAACTAAGAGAGCTGTGGGATGGAGCTTGCCCAGTTTCAAGCGAAAAGGCTCACTCAATGGAGGTCTAAATCCAATTAGGTCCTTTTCATATTGCCAAACTTCTGTAATTTAATTTAGCACAACAAAAAAGCAATGCTTATGCTTGAAAGCTGTTTATGAAATTCCAGTATATTTCTGCCAAGTTTTCTGGTTACAGAAATGAATTAGCTCGTAGTTAGTGACCCCTTCTTTCTCTTCTAATTGCTGCATCATTCGTTTTATATTCCTCATATTTGATAATCTCGTGATATAGAATTGAGTTACAACTGCAAACTGACTTGTAATTTGAAGTGGTTAGAGTAGGTGCATAAGAAGCATGCTCCATATATGAAGAAACTGGTTGTTCTTTTGTCACGGAGGACTCCAGTTGGTTCCTCATGCACTTTGGCATGGATGAGAAATTGATGTAGACAGGCCACAGCAAGGCACAGTTCCATCTTTCTTCTTTCATTTGCTATCTTGTCTTCTCATGCTAATCTTTTCCTGTTGTCTTTTTTTCTACCATTTTAATTTATCTTTTATTTGAATAAGTTTGATTAGCTTACAGATATTTCACGTCATAGGTCTTAATCTTATGATATGTGCTTTTGTCAATTCAGTTTCCTAAAGTATTCAAGGTGAAAAAAAAAAGGTTATTTGTTTTGATGTAATTATATTTATATGCACTTGGGGTCTGAAAAAAGGAGAAAAGAATTATAATGAATGAATCAATTTATTGAAAATTTCTTTCCAAGATCATATAATTTTATATGATTTATAAAATTTTATGGTTTTATAGTTTTATCATCTAATTACATAGTTTTATTGTTCATGATATAACGAGATCTTCATCTAATTGTCTCTTTATATTATCATTTTTTTGTATTATTATTAAGTCGTTTTTATATCCTTTTCTTGCTTTATTATCATAAAGAAAAAAATTCTCTTCCTTGTGATCATGTTCTACATCATATCTTTTAACATTATATCATCTGACTTGACTTCTGGGGTTTGGAATTTGACTTTTCCCCCCTCTTTTGTTTCTGTGTTATGGCACTGGAAATCTGATACTGTGATCACTAGTTAGAAGATAGAAAGCTCATCTTATTATGCCAAATTAATTGACAGTATGATTGATCAAGTTGTCCTAATAATTCATACTTGATGTGATTTCATGACAACTATGCTTCAATAATTCCTAAGATCAAATTGATCAGAAGTGATGTTTACTTGTCACATCAGTAGTAGAACTTTGACTTCAATCATTTGATCATTTGGGAATATATTTATATTTTTAATATATGTTGATAAAATAATTGAAGTGTTTTACAAATAATAGATAAATTTTGTATTTTAAATATAAATTGACATAAGCATTGTTTGATAAATTAATATTTTAAAATTTATTGAATATTATGTGATAAATTTAGCTTTTTAATATTTAAAATATTTTTTCAAAACCATATAAATATCTATTTATTTACATTAATAGATAAATGAATGTATATGATCTTTAAAAAAAATTGGTCTGGTCCAAATGTATAATAAATATAAAATATAACCATATAAATTAATTTTTAAAAATAAATAAATAAAATTTTAGATTTGTGAGAAAAATAATGATAAAAAAAAATAGAGAGAATTGATGAGAAAATGAGGGTTAGTGTTTCTACTATATAGTGGAAATCTTGTGATTTAGATAATTTCATAATATATTTTTAAATTTTAAAAACTATATTAATGTCATGCAAATTATTGAAATGCTGATGCTAACTGTAAAGTAGTATCATCATTCGAACATGTTTAATATAGCATCCTAATTAAATATGATTAAAAAAATATTAATTCATATTTAAAATATGTATTAGATCCTTAATCCACAAGTGAAATATGTTCGTAAATACAATTTTTAAGTGACATCACCCATCATCTCAACTCTTTCTTTTTGTCTTTTTTGAAAATTAACGAGATTGGACCACAAGTGCAGGCATCTGATTGATTGCTGGTTGTGTAGTGAGAAAATGGATCTTTCAATCATTGCATGAAGACACAAATCCTAACTTTCATGAAACACATGCCTTCTTTTCTTAATTGACATTTGGATCTATTCAATCCGCTGAATTTGTGTTTGGCTATTCCTTGACTATTCAAATCTATGAATAAAGATTTTATATTTTTTTACTATTAAAATCTATTATTATATTACATAGTTGATAGAATTCATGTTCAAGTTTATGTGAGAACTAAATAAAAATTATTTTTTAAAAATATACTATACTCAAAATTAGTTTAGTATCTCTTAATGAATTTGGATTAAAAAAGATAAAATTCACACTATATAATCTATTTTATATTTCAACTCTTATCGTTTAATATTATCAAACTTCGTTATTAAAGCATTCCGAAATTTTTAATTCCTCGTATGAAATTCGATCGAATATTCATTAGTTATCTTTAGTATTTTGATTCTTATATTTTTAAAATTATATTATGATTATTATATTTATAAAAGTATAATATTTAATTTTGTTTCTCTTCGTATCATTGACTTTGTTAATGAAAATATCGTAGGACTTACCACCGAGCACGTACTGACTCTATCAACTTCGATCTATCATTCAACATATACAGTATTTTCATGGTAGAAGAAAAATGAGATTAAATATTTAATATTTATAAATATAAAAATTATAATATAATTTTAAAAAATATAAGGATTGAGATACTAAATATAATTAATTATAAGAGATAATATATATAATAAACCGGTTTATAAGAGATGGTGTTTCTGTTAAACAAGGGATTATAGGGTCATTGAATGAAAATAATGCGTTGGATGCCTCAAGTAGGAAATAAACAAAATATAGGGGCATTTTCATAAATTTACCCCCTAGAAGACACGAAATGGTACTAGTTTTCTTCGTTGCTTCGCCACGGAATTGTGCTCCCTTCCTCTCTCTCTCTCTCTCTCTCTCTTCTCTCTCTCTCTCCAGTTCCAAGATCCAAACTTTGACCCCTGCAGAAGTTCCAAATCTCATCTGTTTTGATCCCCAGTCGAATCCAAATCCATCCCACGTCGGAAAGATCCTGCCTTTATCAGTGTTTCCGGGTCAAAATCTCACCTTTATCGGGAAATTGCTGCCGCGACGACGGCGATGCTCGGTAGGTAGGCACTCCCGCCGATGTCGATCGTCTGCGGCATCCCCCTCCTCGAGTGCGTCTACTGCCTGGCGTGCGCCCGCTGGGCGTGGAAGCGCTGCCTCCACAGCGCTGGGCACGACAGCGAGACCTGGGGCCTCGCCTCTGCCGACGAGTTCGAGCCCGTGCCCCGCCTCTGCCGCTACATTCTCGCCAACTACGAGGACGACCTCGACAACCCCCGCCACGCGCTGCCGGGACTGGAGGCCGTGAACCCCCGATGGGTGGTGCGCAAGAAGTCGTATCGGGACACTCACCGCCGCGCACCGCCTTACCTGATCTACCTCGATCACGATCATTGCGACATAGTCGTCGCAGTGAGAGGCCTAAACTTGGCCAAGGAGAGCGACTACGCCGTCCTGTTGGATAATAGCCTGGGGAAGAGGAAGTTCGATGGAGGGTATGTGCACAATGGCCTGCTGAAGGCGGCGGGGTGGGTATTGGACGCCGAGTGTGATATCCTGAGAGAACTGGTGGAGAAGCATTCAAACTACACGCTTACTTTTGCGGGGCATTCTCTGGGGTCAGGAGTGGCCGCAATGTTAGCCATGGTGGTCGTCCAAAACAGAGACAAGTTGGGAAATGTGGAGAGGAAGAGGATTAGGTGCTTTGCGATTGCGCCCGCAAGGTGTATGTCGTTAAACCTGGCTGTCAGATATGCAGATATAATTAACTCTGTTGTACTTCAGGCAAGAACTCTTCTGCTGTAATTTTTATGCCCTCAATTCTTGTTGTTGAATGTTCTCTTCTTTTATTTGGTTTGATAAAGTGTCACTGAAAATATTTTTACTTTTTTTCTAGCCTGTTAAGATCATCTTTTTCTTTTCTCACAGCATTCATCCATTTGGATACTACTTAACCTGCTGATGGACTCCACATGACTTAATCAACTCTTGCAGTGGATAGTGACAAACTCCATGTCAATTCTATTTTTGTTGCAAAATCCGGTTGAATGACTTTTGAATTTTGTCATGGTACATTATTAGTCTCATGGAATTTATTGAATGATGGACCAACAATATGTGACTTCTCCTTGTGTATATGAACAATCATCTGTTTATGTTGTATTTCCATGTAGATTTACTACAACAGACATTGTATCTAGGAGAAAACAGAGAGAAATGTTTCTAAAACCATCATATGTGAAGATACTAGTTTAGCTTGAAGTTGACAATTCTTAGCTCAAATTCCTGATATATCTCTTGATATCCAACAAAAGAGATTTATTTTGATCTTGAAGTCATTTAAAATAATCGGAAATACTTAAAAACCAAAATATAAATTATGAAAGCTTTCTAGTAACTTATTCGTTATGAAGAACAGACTGAGCAGTGTCAAGAAATGATACTGCTCCATGATGTATGAACTTTGAAGACAGAAGATATTGATCTAAGCAACTTAAGATGTACTATGAGAACATTTTGACTATTTTGGATATTTTGTAGAGTAAATTAACATATGAGCTAAACTGTAGAATGCAAATCATTTTGCTGTTAAAATCTTCATTTAGGTTCTCACTATTAGATATTTAGGCTATTACTAGACATCTGGTTTCACTCATGTGCGGTGAGCTTTCTTTCAGTAAATTTATGCATTACTGCATTATGCATAAGTATACGACTGTCCTTTGCTGAACCCTCAAGGTAAGCAGCAACAGAAAGTTCCTAAGGTGATACCAAGAAGGCAAGCTACCAAGTTTTCAAAGAATTATAGAATTTTAAATGTTGTCTTTTTTATTATTTTAAGTGTTGCCTTCTTTACTCTCCTGCAGTATAGCACTTACGGTCATACCGATAGCATGCTTTATTCAACAGATACCACTGCATGGTTGTTCGACTTTTCGTGCAAGAATTAATGTCCTACACATATTTGATCCTGTACTTTTGGTCATAATCCATGCTCTGATTGCTAAGGACTTTAGCATCATTGTGAAGATCATGGATATCCTGTATTCGGATGAATCACTCACATTTTAATTGTCCATGATGATAATTGTTGTATTTTTAACATATTACAAGAAAAAT